AAGTGGGCTCGGTTGTTTGACATAAACATTATATTTTGACTTTATTTTGTATGACTTACCACTATAAATAAAAATAAAAACAAACAAACAGACTATTCTTTTTAATAATTAGTCTATCAATTTGATATCTAGGCCTAGTGTCACGTTAACTTTGTCTCTCTCTTAAAGGCCCTTCCTTGTATTTTTAAACCTCTAATACTCTTCCTCCCTAAAGAGAAACCTAAATATAAGTATCTAGTCAGAGAGAAACAATATTTGTATAAAGTTTTAATACTGTATGTATCCTTCAGGGTGAAGATCTTTAGTCCACGTGGATGTGATTCCTGAAGCTAGTACACATTTGTACCCTTAGAACACTTTAGTATCTTTTTTATTTGTCCTTAGTGAAACATCACCTTAAGGAGGAGTATGTCTGGTATAATTGTATCTCCAAAACGAGAAACGTTTCTTTTGTCTCGTCTAGGAACTTCTATAGTTAGTATTAATTTGGACTTGGAGAAGTCCTTATGCATCACACCTTTTCTTCTTAATGTGAGACATTTTATGTTAGGAGGATACATGGTAGCGCAGCGAACGAGCACAATAATAGTGGGGTCTGAGGTCCCAGAAAATCTCTAAATTTCAGAGCATATATCATGTTTCAAATCAATGAAATATTTTATTTCACAGAATAACTTGAACAATTTTCAATACGTTGGTTTAGGGGAGGGGGCGTTTCCGGTGACCCCCTGGCTCCACCACTGAGATTAATCGTGTTTTAACACGACGTAATGACGCTGTAATAATGAACCCAATGAATGCTTTTTAGTTTTTTGTTGTTGGATTAAGTTAGACTTATTTTATATTTTCGATTCAACGAAATAATAAAGATCTCTAAATTCGATTGTCTGACAAAAGTACACCTGCTAATATCGATCTGTAATCTCGGTTAACAGTATCGGGAAATGGTTTAAACAGTCAACCTCTACATAGGTCGATAATTGAATATGTTGTGAAAAGTTAATGGACTGCTATAATACCTCTACCTCTGCCCTATCAATTATATATCATTGAAAATAATAGCTTTCGAAATATCTCCATTAATAAACGATAAACATCCTCTAAAAGTTGAGAATTGCATGTGATAATAAAACTGGCGCTATTTTTCGTAGAAATACGTTAAATGCGGTCATATTCTAACTAAATTGCCTCATGAAACGAATTCGCGGTAAATACCCGAAAATTTGCTTTCCGTCCTTCACGAGATCCAAATACCCCATTCTGAATAATAGACGGACAAAAAGGACCAAATACCCCATCCACGCGCCAGATACCCCATGTCCACGCGCCTAATACCCCATTATGGGGTAAAAGGCGCGTGGCACGCGCCGAATACCCCATGTTATTTCCTTCCGTCCGTCCGTCCGTCCGTCCGGGCAATAACTCAAAAATACCGCTGGCCCGATTTTGTTCATATTTTGTACACATTTATCCAATGGCGGTAGAAGTTCTGCTCGAAAACCGATTTTCAAAATGGCCGCTCCAAAAAATGGCGGCCATTTTATTATTATTTTATTTTACGATTTTTGCTGTAACTTGAAAAGTAGTGGAGCGATTTTGTTCATATTTGGTATGTGAATACTTTAAGCATGGTACAATATCTAATGACATTTTGGGTAGTAGGCGGCCATTTTGAAAAATGGCCGCCATTTTTACGTGTGTTTTTTTACATTTTTTACTATAATTCAAAAAGTAGTAGAGCAATTTTGTTTATATTTTATATGCGAATACTATAAGCATGGCGCACTGTCTAATGACACTTTTGGGTAATAGTCGGCCATTTTGAAAAATGGCCACCATTTTTAAGTTTTTTACTAAGAGGAGGGAAAACCCCATGATTCAATTGATGACATACGATTTCCTCCTTCGCGCACCTCCTTTCCCGGAACTATGTATATTTATACTTCCCTCCATCTTGGTTTTCAAATTGACCTAGTTTTAAACCAATCAACGATCGACTCGCTAAACCAATCAGCGACGATGTCATTTCAATACAGATTTACATTATAAGCGTATGTCATCTTTGAACCCTGGGGTTTCTCCCCCTCTTTTTTAACTGTTACTTGAAAAGTAGTAGAGCGATTTTGTTATTTGATATGTGAATACTCCTGAGCCTTGCACACTGTCTCATGACATTTCGCGTAGTAGGCTGCCATTTTAAAAAATGGGTGTCATTTTTACTTTTTTTACGATAACTTGAAAAGTATTGGATCGATTTTGTTCATATTTGATATGTGAATACTTTAAGCATGGCACATTGTCTAATAAAACTTTGGGGAGTAGTCGGCCATCCATCATTATGTGTGTTATTTTACATTTTTTATTATAACTCAAAAAGTAATAAAGCGATTTTGTTCATATTAGATATGTGAATACTTGTAAGGATTGCATACTGTCTTATGACATTTTGAGTAGTAAGTGGCCATTTTAAAAAATGGCCAGCATTGGCGATTTTTTAAGAATTTTTTATGTGGCTACTTAAAAGCATATTACTTCTTCGGATTACAACTTGGCTAGTGATCAACCATCTTGAAAATGGTGGCCTTTCTTATGGGTGTTATTTTATGATATTTGCTTACTAGTACTCGATTCAAATTGACCAACATTTTTCAAAATCATCTACAAGTTCTCAGATATTCAAATCTGACTTAAGATTGAACTCGTATATTGTGAGCAACTTTAGGTGGTGACATTTTGTCATGTTAAAGCCTCGTTAACTATTTGTTTGGACATTTCCCACCCACAAGTGGTGTGGCTATAACAAGACTACAAGGCATTAATACAACAAAATTTCACCCCCTCTTAAGTTATTGCAAAATGTTACAGAAGCCGAATGTCACCACTTTTTGAGCTCTAGGCTAATACGTAGTTTAAAACAGTTTTGGAACTTCACAAGCAATTTGTTTAATATGATATTACTGAACACACCATTCATCATATTATATCAAATGTTGTTTTATTAAATAAACATTGTGTATTATGTACATGTAATGTACAAATACTACAAATACTACATATCCAATATCCTCACAACTTCAACTAAATATGTGTCTCTTACAACTACAAGAGCCCATTGTATTTTTCAAATAATAATATAAAACATTCATAAACTCTAGAGGCAATGTAATATCAATTTCAGCAAAAGTAATTGAGGAAAAATCAAACCAGTTTCCTAGCCTTGATTTATGCTTACAAAATGACAAAACCTCTCTAATAGGAACACCTCTCAATGTGAACGCTTTTTTCAGTCCCATTTTCAAACTGTCATGGACTTCCATGTTAAAAAACTCAAATGTGAACACCTTTCAATCTGAACACTTGGCAGGTCCCAGTGGTGTTACATTCTACTATACCTAACACCTAGAAATGCATAAGATACTTTGTCTAATTGTATTGTTTAGTATATTTTTGAAAGTACCTTATTAACATCTAACATTCAACCAATAAACCATTAATAAGGAACATACAAATAAAAACAAGTACATTATCATTACTAATAAGCCAAATGGGTTGCTCATGAACACCAAATGCAAGGTATAGTAGAGTGTTAGGATTAGACAGGTTTAAATGCTGCCAATTAAAATTCTAGCATTCTTTGGATTGCCCTTGGATCTTAAGGCGCTACTCTTAAAGTCTTGGTATATACGTCAATGAGCCATGGACTGTAAACGTTCTATTTTTAAAGGTGTTCTATTACAAAGGTTTTATTGTATTATCTTTTTTCCACAAGCATTCAACCTTCTCCAACAAATTATTTTATGAAACTTGAGATATTTATATTAAACCAGGCATCTTATATTCCTAATTGCCAATAGAGGGCTCTCATAACTGAAACACAGTGGCAACTGAAGTACCGATAACATAAATAATGTGATGTCTTATTCCTCAATAGTTTAGCTCACTCTCACAGGGTTTGGTGTCAGGGCTGGTATAAAAGTGAATATTGCTTTGGTATTTCAAATACTGGTTGCCATATATTTATATTGTGACCTAATTTAGTTAATGTAAATTTGGTAAGTGTAACAATTTGTAACAGACAAAAATGTGACGATTTGTTACGGAAACCAAACACGCCAGTAACAAGAAAATGTTGACTCATAATGATATTTTACCACTTCTCAGTTGTGATATATAAAATATAACATACTAGTAGTTTTGCTACTTCATTGCTTTTGCAGCACCCTTTGCAGACTCATTTTTGTCCAAAAAATTAGAAAGATTTGAATGAAGTTGAATAAAAAAATAAATAAACAATCCAATCGGTCTTATATAGAGGAACTTAAGCTTATCTTAACATTATCTTAAAGAGTGTGATGACTAGGAATACTATACTAGATATAGTATGCTGTTATATCACAAGCAAATTGAGATGCATTGTACAGTAAAATGGAGAAAAAACCTATAGTAAGTGGAATCCCCCAGGGACAACAAAATAATGTTCCACTTTGAGGTGTTTCACTTCTGGCAAAGTTACATTTTCTCTGATCTTCAAGAATGGTGCCAAGCTAATGAGTATTTTCTCCAAAACAGAATGTGATTTTGAACAGAATACTCATCAGCCAGTCACCAGTACTGAAAATATGAGCAAATGTGACCAATGCATTCACAGAGGTTTAGTTAAGATTGAGTCAATAGATCAAAGGATTTGAATGGTTTATTTAACTATACATAAAGAAAATATTGCAAATACTGGCTTTAAATCACTTAGGCTATTATATAAACATGGAAAACAATGTGAGTATGAAAAATAGGACAATAAATATTCCCTTTTATATTCACTCTTGAAATGACTCCATGAACACAGGTTTCTCTGTAAATACCGACGTGTGTGTTAAGAAATAGATAAAGGGCTCAATGATAGATGAAAGGATAACTGCCATTTTTCCATGCCATAGTCCATCACTTCCTTAGATGAGTAGTCTAGGAGTTTTGGGTAGTTAATGCATGTCAGATAAAGGGCTCTATGACAGATGAAAGGACAACTGCCCTTCTTTCCATGCTAAAGTCAGTTTTTCTTTCATTACATCTTTAGATGAGTAGTCCGGGAGTTTTAGGTAGTTGACACATGTCATAACTGAAGGTAAGAAGTCATCAGCATTCTCGTTTCCTTCCACGGGTTTCCTTACTATAGTCAGCGGGGGTGTAAGACTCTTGAATCCTGGAAATAATTTCCTTGATTAAAAACTATATTCAAAAATAATTTATCTGTAAAACCTGTCTTGTAATCTGAGCAAAAACTGCTTTTGAATATTAAAGAGGAGACCAATTGTCGTCAACAATAAAGTTGGAGACTATTACAATATGTTGTGGTGGTGACATAACAGAACTCAGTCAATCAGTGATCTACCCATGATTTTTTCTCAGATTGGTGCAAAATTCTCATTTTCACAATGTAGACCAAAATTGATCAAAATATGCCAATTTTCATGATTTTTCTCATTTTCAAGTGTGTGCAAATGGATTAAGAGGTGGGTGCAAGCCTATTTTCAAAATCTCAGGTGGGTGCTGCACCCTTTGAACAATGGGGTTTCTTCTCTTAGTGTAATTAAATTAAGCTGTTTGTAACAAAAGATTCTGGGGTCCATTTTTGGAACCGTTGTAACTTACGATTTGGTCATGAGTCATTGTTTGTCAAAAGGTAGACAACGGTTTTTCTCGGAATCGTAACTCACGATAGTACCTAATAAACGGACCCCGGTATAATAAAGAACAAATTGTATATACCTGAGATTTTGAAACTTTTTATTGTCATTTGGAAAACCAGAGAAAAATAAAACATCTCCAACCAAATTCTCACCTCCAACTGGTAACCGAGGCGACCCAGTTACAAACTGCAAAAATCCCCGCTGTTCCTCTGGTGTCATTTCCGTCAATATCTCATAGAGGAATTTGACAGCTTGACTGTCATGATTGAAGCCATGGTCCGGCCGACATGACTCCATAAGCATTTTAATGTCCCATTTCTCTTCTTTTGAGCCACAGAAAAGCTGCTCTAGCTCCTCTGGATAGAAACTCAAAAGGTGTTTCACAGGGAAGATACACTCAAAGCCTTCTAGGAAGGACTCAAACTGCTTGGAGACCCCTTCTACTAATGTCCAATGCACAACCAACTGAAATGAAAATGCATGTACGAATCAACAGGATTTCATAATTTTGTATTTATGTGCTGATGGACATATAAGGCCATATTAAATAAATATATGTTTAACATCCTCTATGATCCTAAGGTTGATATTTTTCAGAAAAGTTTGATCCTAATGACAATTGTAGCTTAAAAATTGTAATTTCATATGAGAAGAGTTTTTGGATTGAAAACTCTGTAGTGAGTTGACACTGAGCAGCCATATTTTTTGTCAGATTTCCAATGAAGAAAAAGACCATCGGGAATTTTGATCAGTCTTGTTAAGTTTATTCAAAACATGAAAAGAGGCTCCTATCATTATGAATGTTTCAATCACTATGGCAACGATAAACAACATCAAAGGTCTGAAAGTGGACCCAACAGGACTCAGAGATTTATCAGGTTATCACAAATAGTACTACAGGCTTAGTGACCTAAAAAAGTACTGTGTAAAAATACCAGTCATTGAGTTAACTAAAAACTCGCAGACTCGAACACAAAAGCTGCACCTACCCGTAGATACTCCTCCAGATTGTCTAAAGTTACTGCTATATCTCTGCCTCCTTTCTTCAGCTCTAAGTTAGTGCTTCCCACCGACAGTGTGAAGTCTAAAGCGAGATCATCCACGCTACACCCATCTACTGTAAGATTCTGCATTGCTAACTCTCTGCTTACTTCAGTCTGTAACAAACCAAACGGGGTATTAATATGCAAAATGTCACTCCCTGCCATTTGTCACAGATGCAAACGCTGAACACCAAATGCCAAACGCCGAATGCCATCACAAAAAAGTTGGAAATGAGACCACAGCAGTATATAACCACTTTTGGTGGTGACATAGTAAGATAGAAGCTTATATGTGTAAGAATACAATTTTAAGGGACAAAGTCCATGAAGCGCAACTAACAGGACATGGTCCATTCAATACAGCCTGACAACATTCCAATACTAATTGATTCCAACTGATTAAGTTAATAAAATAATTTTCCAAAAATAATTGAAGTGAATATTAGAAGTGTTTTTAGAAAGTGAAATCAAATATTTTCAAGACCCATGCATGAAACAAAATGTTGATATTTGTTCGCTGGAAAACATACAATACTTACATGTGACTTATCGCTTTCTATGAACTTTTTCTGTCGTACCACTTCTTCTAATTGGTAGAAAGATTTGGCAAGTACGGGGTCTACATATTGTAAGTCACGGGAACAAAGCATGGACTCTTGTCCTAGCAGCCACTTGTAGAAGGCTTGACTAAGTGGGATATCAATCTGAAATAAATGACATCAGATAAGGGGGGATAACATATAGTAAATAAAACATGGAGCATCGGATAAGTGGGGATTATGCTTAGTAAACATGGAACATCAGATAGGTGGGGATTACTAGAGGTGTCAAGTATTAACCGGTTAACCGCCGATAATGCCTTGACCGGTCTGAGTTTTTATGGGCGGTTAGTTGACCGTGTATAATTCTGTTATTTCCTGCGCTTATTTTGAATGCTAATCCGTTTGGTTTTATGGTGTCAGTTTCACGTAAGCTACTCATACATGTCATAAGTCCCATAACTCCTTACAAACATCCAATCAGCAACTTTAATCCCTGCCACATTGCTTTCCCGCGCTTACTTTGCATTTTAATCTGTTTGTTTTTCAAGCGTCAGTTTCATGTGAGCTACTCATACATGTGATAGGTCCGATAATTCCTTACAAACATCCAATCAGCAACTTTAATCCCTGCCACATTGCTTTCCCGCGCTTACTTACATAGAATAGCGTAAAGCTTGACGAACGTAAAAAATAAACGCCGATATATAATTTTTCCAATTTTTTTCAACTTTCAAGATCGAAGATGAAGATTTCATTTGAAATTATAAGTTCAAATTTCCCGCCGGTTAACCGACTTTAACCGGTAAAAACCCCCGGTTAACCGGTTAATGCTCAAGCGGTTAATTGACACCACTAGGGATTACACATAGTTAAATAGGGAGCATCGGGAAGTGGGGGATTACACAGTAAAACATGGAGTGTCGGATAAGTGGGGATCACACATAGTAAAACATGGAGCATCAGATAGGTGGGGATTACACATAGTAAAATAGGGATCATCAAATAACAGTTTTCATATGTTGTGTCACAAATTATGAAACAAGCGTTACATAATTTGGGGTCATATATTATAAATCATGGGCCATAAGGATTCATTTTCAGCCATACTTTCTAAAAGATAACACAAACTAATAATAGCAGCCAACAAAGAATTAAACCAGTATTTGTAAAATGAAAATGAGTTGAGGAAGTTTAAAGAAAGTGTTTTCCAGGCAACTCTGATCCAAGACAGCTTGGGTGAGGCTTAACCTTGGTGAGAACTATTAGGTGACACATTAATGTTCTAAACTTACCATTCTCGAGTCCATGAGGGATTTGGCAACAAACTTTCCCATAAACTTGAATTTATTGCGAACTTTGGTGACGTGAGCTGTTTTAGCATTCCTTCCCAATGGCTGGGGAAAGAGACCAGGGGCAGAGTGCATATACAGTACCCCTTCGCTACCTACAAAAATATGACAAACATTTAAACAAGGCATTAACATGCAAAGGATAACCACTTGCCATTTGTTACAGATGTTGAACACCAAACGCCAAACAACATCTATCAAACGCCGAACACTGTCCACAAAAAAGTTGAAGACCAAATTTATGGTAATGCAATACATTATCAGGGTATGTTACAGAGAAATGTTTATGTATTGATGTACACATTTCTTGTCACGGTAAAAGATGTAAAATTCACTTCAGTTTTATGTCTACTTTGCTTAATTGATTTGCAAATTCTTTACTTAATAATATGTGTAGTTAACAAAATCCCTGCGCTACCCCCATAAATGTGGGGTTGATTTTCCAAATTATCCACCCAAATACTTGTTTATTGTAATCTTGGGGTTTTATTTTGTTTGACACAAAGCTGAATTTTTTCTAAATAACCACTAATCCGGCTTACTTTCAACAAGATTTCAATACATAGGTCACGGGGGCAATTTGGAAAATCAACCCCACATTTATGGAGGTACCCTGTACAGAGGCCACATGTACCTTTAGAGTCCTTGAGCTGAATCTTTTCACCACGCCACATCTCTAAATCAGCACGTTGTAGCTCTAGGGAGACAAGAGCGTAGAATTCTAGTGTTGGACCTAAACCTGTTCCTACTTCTGTCTCGTATTGAATCTCCAACAGAGCCTTGGAGGAACCCAAGTCTTCCATGACCTTTTCTGCTTGTTTCAGTAGATCTTCACGAGATACCATCCTCTGAGAAAGTAAAATAGATGATATAAGCATATAGAGGGTTATAGTTAGCTAGTTATCTGGTTATAGTGGGTGATGAAACTTGACAAGAGACCCAATTCGCCAGGGATAATTTAAAACCATGAATAGAAACTTTGACGCTCTAATTTCCCTCAATCACAAAGGGACACAATCTGTCAGACTGATATTAACTTATGGAGTTACATAAGTAGCTGGGACAAGCATATCAGCTTTCACTTTTTCAAGAAACTAAAAAAGGCTTCAATCAATCCCCTTCTCCCTATTCATTAAACCTTGAAGTTTAAGATTTACCTAAATGATTTTTAGGTTACAATGATCAAAAGAAATGTAGGATATGTAAATAATAAACCTCTGGAGTACATACCTTCCTCCTATCAAGGCGAGGAGCCACACGGTCAGAGCCCTCTGTGTTTGTGGCAGGTTCTGCTGAGCCATCCTGAAGACGCATCATGGCACGGTCACGGTCAAATGATGTTGCATAGAACAGTAGCTGCCTTGTGTCAAATGGTAGCAGAAATGGACTGGAATGAAAGAAAATAGTCATGTGATCCTTTAATCTTCAAAAGTCACATGACCGCTGTCTACTGATGTATCAACCACAATTTTTACCATCTCTACCTCTTAAAAAGTGAAATAACTAAAAACATTTTGAAATGGAACCAAATTACAAATGTACACTTCAAATAAACTATTTAATAACAAAACTGATATCTAATCTAGTTTTAAACAATTGATAACATAAATAGAGTACCAATGCATATAAACAACAAGTACAACATGAAACCAGAGAATAGAGTATCTAGAAACTGATATCTAATCTATTTCTAAAAAATGATAATATAAATGTAGTACCGATGCAAAAAAGTACAACATCGAACTAGAGAATTGGGTATCTAGAAACTGACCAGGTTCTTGCTACTTCAGCCAACCAGGAAGGGAGGTTACCAGTCATGATAACGAGAGGATCTTGAAGCTGTCTATTGGCTTTGGCTGCTAGTTTACTGCTGACATATTCTACACTGGAGAGCACAGCTTGGTATGTTGAGCACTGCAAAAAGAGCACAATATATTCAGTGTTGCATGGCATATTGGCTGCTAGTTTACTGCTGACATATTCTACACTGGAGAGCACAGCTTGATATGTTGAGCACTGCAAAAAGAACACAATATATTCAGTGTTGCATGGCATATTGGCTGCTAGTTTACTGCTGACATATTCTACACTGGAGAGCACAGCTTGATATGTTGAGCACTGCAAAAAGAACACAATATATTCAGTGTTGCATGGCATATTGGCTGCTAGTTTACTGCTGACATATTCTACACTGGAGAGCACAGCTTGATATGTTGAGCACTACAAAAAGAGCACAATATATTCAGTGTTGCATGGCATATTGGCTGCTAGTTTACTGCTGACATATTCTACACTGGAGAGCACAGCTTGATATGTTGAGCACTGCAAAAAGAGCATAAATGATATAAACTCAACGAGTTCACATGTCTCAAACTCACAAACTCATGGTTACGACACAGCACCTAGCTTGGTTTGTTCAGCATTCTAAAACATCTTTTGTCAAGTACAAGCCCCTATGATCTCCCCAGGGCATTTGAGTGCTGTATTCAAGCGAGATTTTGAAAATGACGTGTACCCACTTAAATAGAGAAAATTGGTTTGTTTGACCAATTTTGGGAGGCGTTGTTAAACGTTTGACCCAAGAAGAACCCCAAACTTTGTAATTTGATAGTTTCATAAAAAACTGGTATGTTTGACCAATTTTGTAGTGAAACTTTCGACCAGAGAACACCAAATTTTGTTATTTGATTGTTTTGTATTCTATTTAGGTTACATACCTGATAAAGGCTACCCCAATGTCTGTTGAGAGCATGGATGACACGTAGCAATGCAAGCACGTCGACAGATGGATCCTTGCCACAGAACGTAGGGGGCAGCACAGGCACCAGATAGCCCTCTAGTGGTGAAACTATAGGGGGACACAGACCATCTGAAAACAAATTCAACAACATCATAGATTTTGTTAAAAAGAAGATATTTTCATGCAATATGTTAGATGTTCAAGTTTTCAAAAAGTAATGACAAGAAAAAAAGAATTCCAGTAAATAACCAATATGTATTTTTAAGCAGCTTATCACATGTATCAAATCTTTTTCAAAATGCGTTCTAAAATTAGCAGATTAAAAGTCAATCCAAAGACATGTAATATGCAGTAGGTACCTGTCCAGAGTTCATCTTTTTTACTTTTTGGCGCAGCTTTTGTCTTTGTCTCTGATTTGCTTTTCTTAGGACTTGCACCCATGGCCTGCTCTCTCTCTGCTTCTGGTGCTGGTTTGTACCTTAAATGTGAATCAATATGAGAAAATGTGAAACAAAATGTGAAAGAATGTCTTAGAAGCTACATCCATGGCACAATCTCTTAATATTCACTGTTTTTGGTATATAATGTGCCGATTCAAAACAATTTTTTCCAAAATTAATTTAATCGTAAGCTAAAACCCCCAAAAATCAATAGAGCAGAAGAACACTCCGAGAATTAACAGTTTAAGACAGGGCATTGACAACACAAAGTAAAACAACTGTAACACTATGTCACTATTTCATAAATATTTACCATATTGTGTGAGATTGTACCCATATGTCTGCATTACCCAATGGGTTCTCTGTGTCTGTGTCAGTCTCATGGCCAGTGTCATGCGAAGTACTGTATTGCTTAACAGCCTGGTATACTGTCATATTGTAGGGTATCACATGATCTCCTAAAATATGGGAAACATATGTGAATCAATTTGTAAGATATGTGAATCAATGGGAAAGAAATGTGAATTAAAGAGGAAAATGTGAATCAATGGGACCGGAGAGAAATGTGAATTATCTGAAACGAAATGACTAAAATATGTAAATCAATGGGATAAATGCAAAGGTATCCCATACTTAAGGACATTGAAATTGTCATCTTTAACACAGTCACTATTGTCAATATTATCACAGTTTTGTCCAAAAATGGAATTTTCACTGCAGAGAAAATGGGTTGTCAAGTCGGTGCGAGCCTATTTCTGAACTCTCACGGAGGACCAAAGCACTACAAAGGTGGAAGGATAACCGATTTGTGTTAATTGTTTACCTATGAGGAACTGCAATTTGTGTTTCGCTGTGCCTTGTGTTATAAAGACTGCAGCCATAGTGTCATCAATGTCATCATCGCTGTTGTCATCATCATCACTTATATCATCAGCATCCTAGAAAAACAAGATTAAAGATTTATGAAAAGGAGTACATTAATAAATGAGCCTCGCCATAGGAAAACCGGTCTTATCACAAAAATTTAAATTGTGCTACAGAACCAAAAATGTGCCCAAGATTAAGAGGAAAATGTGCTAAATTCAAATCCACCTTTTTGGTCTATATAAGCAAGGAAAAATTGTTAAGACACAAGCCATGGCTCATTTGAAAGGTCTCTTTGTGCTTTTTAATAAAAACAAAAAATCAAAACATTGAAAAAATCTGTGATAAGACCCCCTTTCCTGTGGCCTGGCTCAAATATGGTACCATAAATATCACACAAAATTGAGCAATAAAAGAGCAAAATTGCCACCACAAAATTAAAGCCTCTGTCACATTTGCTAGCTCTACCCAACTGTAGTTTCACAAAATCCATATAGAAAATCCACATCGTACTGCTTATCCCCGTACAATTGCCGTAGTACAAATGTGACTGAGGCATTACATGTACACAGCATACCCAAAATCAGATGGCGCATTACCACATTAGGTGGAGACATAAAATCCGTTTCTGTCAACTACAATACTTAACATTAGACTAAGGATCAAGCTAAATACAAGCAAAAAAAATCCAGATAAAATGAGTGGTACTCACTGATGTGCTATTGTTTTTGATGCGACCGAATCCCCTCATAACAAGGTACCTCTCTATTGCTTGGGTGAGAGCAAGTGGATCTATTTTCACTGGACCACCTCTCCACTGCCGTAGATTTCTGCACTCAGGGTGACGTTGTAAATGGCACTGAAATATAAAAGGAGTATGATACATGCAAGTGGTGGTGAATAAAAGATATTGCAGACTGAATATAGTACCAATGTTATATTAATGATCAAATGCATTTTTAGTATTAGGCCTAATGATCAAATGCATTTTTATTATTAATGATCAAATGCAATTTTAGTATTAATAATCAAATGCAATTTTAGTATTAATAATCAAATGCATTTTTAGTATTAATGATCAAATGCATTTTAGTATTAATGATCTAATTCATTTTTAGTATTAATGATCAAATTCATTTTTAGTATCAATGATCAAATGCATTTTTAGTTCAGTAATACATAATTAAAAGTTATATATTAGCTCCAATATCAATGTGCAGGTACAAATATTGTTCATTAAGGTAAGAGCGTGATGCAATATTATGGACGGAACTAAAATTATGTACGAGAGATATTTAATTATTTAAAAATTGTTTTCAGAATTGTATTTATTGTTGTTCCAAGGTGGAAACAGTAAAAAAAACAAAAATTATTCCAAAAAAGAAAAGTTAGTGGATCCAAAATCTGAAAACCTGGTGAACACAAAAAGGACTATTTTCTCTGGCCTTACCTTAAGCTGGTGAGTATTGAAGAAACGTAAAGCATTAGAGCCTCGTCCAGTGCTTGCTGTGCCTCCTGGCAGATCATGGACTTTAACTTGGAACTGGAATAGAGAGATATATTTGGGGGTTATGTTAAGGGAGGTTTCACAATGAGGTTTTCAGGACACCAATTTCCAGGTTTGTTTTCTTATTTCAATCAAGACCCAGAGCACTGTAGCAAGTTGAAACAATGCATCTCAGAAAATTATTATTTGATCAAACAACAAGTAAGGGGACTTGTTCCATTTTGCCCTGATTGAAACCTATGAACTATCTGTATGGTCGAATATTTATTGATTCCTGGTACATGACATGAAACTCTATCACAACATACTTCCCAAAGTTGAATGAGCCTTGGCCAAAATATTTGTATTTGAAGAACCATTGCTTTGGTTCATATTTACCTGTTCCAGTTGGTGAACACATCCAAGTAGTTTACTGACTAGTTGTGCTATGTGGGGTGGTACAGACATGTCTAATTCTATCACAGCAGCAGTATCTGGACTCTACAAGAAATGGGAAAATGTGAAACATGTAAGATATGTGAAACAAATGAGGAAATGTGAAACAAAATGTGAATTTTTATTTGAATTTGTCTATAGGTATTGCACTTTTAAATCAGATGATTGGCAACGATGAAGAAAAAACTAAATATTTCAAAATATATATTTTACAGGTAACTTATCTTGAGAGACCAACACTGCCCAGTAAAGTGATCTAGAAATAAACCTAGAGCAGTTGGCATGGAAATGGGGTTTGAACAATTGGCATCCCATAAATAAATATAAAACTTTAAATTCTGAAAACAAACTAAGCCACTCACAGGGCAATTCAGGAAGACATGTAGAAATCTGCGTAATCTCAGCTCTCGTTGACTACAGTCCTCTGTCAAATATGCCAGTAATTTCCGTACAAGATTACTATGGATTACTTCAAATGGGGAAACATCACTCTTCTTTAGTATAGAGGCCATTGTTTCAAGGGCTTCCAACTCATTCTCCTGCAAAAATACATTGAAAACTGAACAAATGGACAGTGAATATTTCAATTGAGTGTTTTTTCAAATGGGGAAACATCACTCTTCTTTAGTATAGAGGCCATTGTTTCGAGGGCTTCCAACTCATTCTCCTGCAAAATACATTGAAAATTTAACAAATGGACAGTGAATATTTCAATTGAGTGTTTTTTCAAATGGGGAAACATCACTCTTCTTTAGTATAGAGGCCATTGTTTCAAGGGCTTCCAACTCATTCTCCTGCAAAATACATTGAAAATTTAACAAATGGACAGTGAATATTTCAATTGAGTGTTTTTTCAAATGGGGAAACATCACTCTTCTTTAGGATAGAGGCCATTGTTTCGAGGGCTTCCAACTCATTCTCCTGCAAAATACATTGAAAATTTAACATATTGTAACATGGTCATTTTCACATTGTTTATATTTCTACAATTCATATTGACCAATCCCCATCCATGTCATTTTAACAGGTCCCTTCATTACTTTACACCAGTTTCAAATATTTAATTCCAATGTTTTCATTTCTTTTGTATACTTTCTACTCTAGTTTCCTTTGTTTAAACCAGTTTTTTAGCTTTTCATGGTGTGATGGTTTCATACTGTTTTTGTATTCCATATAATGGCATTCACTCACATGTAACTGAGTTTGGGTGTTGTCTTTACTTGTTAGTGTTGCCTAGAGTTTGTAACTGTTATACACAGAGTATTTCAAATAGATATTTTAGAAGACATTTTAACTACATTTCTACTGTTATATTTGATTGCCACCCACGGGCCTCCAATCGCCCCGTTACAATATGGACAGTGAATATTGTCCCAGTATTTTTGTCCTGGTAGCGTTCAGTTACATTGTTATTTAATATGGCTTAGGAATCAACAAACTCGGTGATAATATTCCCAGGGGGGATGGGGACAATAGCAAAGAGGGGCAATATTCGGGCAATTTAGAAAATAATATTGTCCTAGTATTTATTCTCCTGGTACAAACACAATTACATTGTGACATTGTTCAGTCTGCAAATAATAATTTTGGGGCCTAAACAAAATAAAATAGGACAATATTAAACATTGAACTTTCTTTAGAAACAAGATGACATGTTAATAACAAATTAGTTGCTATGAAACATACCTCTTTTTCTAACATAGTGGTTGCAGCAGAAAGTCTGTTAAGTACATCCAATGCAGGGTTAGTGGAGCCTTGTTTCTCTATGTTGCTATCTCCATGTTCCTTCTCAAACTTAATAGCTATAACAAAACAGAATATGGTTTAAATACTATCTTCATGATGATAATGATTTTTTGCCGGCAATTGAAGATGGCCAAAGATGCTTGTACCATATCCAAAGATGCTTCAAGTAATTTGACTGGTATATCTTGAGCCATCTTCAAAACATTTTCAGTTATTGTTCATCAGTGCTTCACAATGCTTATTGCTGATTTCACAATGCTTATTGCTGATTTCACAATGCTTATTGCTGATTTCCAAACTTCATGTTGAAGTCCATTATCAAACACTTTACTTTATATTTTTATCTCATCACTGGTATTATATTTATTATGTATATGAAAATAGGGTCCCAATGCACCTGTTGGTCTGGAAAAACAAAATTGTCCGCACAAACAAATCTTAAGGAGGACTAATAATAATTGTTATTATTACCCTGATCTTTGATCCAGGAGCGAACCTTCTCTTTGTTGTTAGACAAAGGACCACTGTTGTTACGCACCAGACATGTCTCATGCTGAAAAACAAACAAATAGTCATGACCTTATTTGCTTATTAACTCAAAATAATTCTATTTCATGTAAATTTGATTGAACATGTGATAACAATTAAGCATATTGTATATGTGTGCCTTAAAAACAAGGGGACATGTTTTAAACAAATATATATCAGTGATCTCCCCCAGCAAGTCGGCGCATCACCCACCTGTGATTTTAAGAACAGGCTTGCACCCACCTGAAAATCCATTTTCACCCGCTTGAATTAGCCATATCTTGACCAAATGGTTTAAATTGTGAGATTCGGAATTTTGCACCCACTTCAGATAAAATCCTGGGGAGATCACTGTATACACAAAAACTATTCTGAAAGTTGGGGATGGGCAAACTTGGTACAGAGACTTGACCTGACAATGTGCAGCCAGCGTGAGTGGTGGAGTCATTCTATTCATAAAAAATAAATATTAGCTTGAACAAATCCATTAAGAAGGAATACTTACATGCGGTTTAGGAGGTGGTTTCTCTGACGTAGACGACCTTCCCCACCTAGAAGGGTTTAGACTGGACAGGAAGGATGCCCTTGGACTAGCACTGGAACTACTTTTACTTGAGTCTTTACCTAGAAAGTTAATAACACTGGTTTACAAACTTTAAATCAAATCAGATTTCCTATCTGTGCACCAAACAATCAATTCACAAAATTAATTATGGACATTATATCTGCACTAATTCTACTTGTATCATCAGAGAAGTGTAAAATACTGGAACTACTTTATTTGCATCTTTACATAAGGTAATGTGACATATTTTTTATTTGACGAGCTAACGCTATCCACTAACCTAGTGATTTTCCGCGACTAACGGGGGTTGACTTGGATGGAGCACCTGATTTGGGCAGATCAGAAGGGGCCTCTGTTGCACCTTTACTCGTCTTGCGTGTTGACACTCTCTTGGGAGCTTTTTTCCTCTTTAGGACATCACTCAACCTCCTGAAATATAGAGCAGTTTAAATTGTTTGAGATGCTTTAAGTAGCTGACAATCATGTTTGGGTAACCCTCTGCAACAGCCAGAATACAAATTTAGTAAATAAGTTTTTTAATCTAAAGTTCAACTAATCAAAATTATCATATTAAAATAAGGGTTCTGGACTCACATCTGACTTGTTTAATTTAAAGTTCAACCAGAACAACAGCAACGCCAAAGCGTAGCGAATCCCATCGAACATTTTTCAAAAGGGGCACCTTCTACCAAAAGTGTCATTAGACAGTACAGTGTGCCATGCTTATAATATTCACATACCAAATATGAACAAAATCGCTCTACTACTTTTCGAGTTATAGTAAAATACGTTAAAATGGTGGCCATTTTGAAAAATGGCCGTCTTCTACCAAAAGTCTCATTAGACAGTGTGAAATGCTTATAGTATTCACATACCAAATATGAACAAAATCGCTCCACTACTTTTCGAGTTATAGTAAAATACGTTAAAATTGCGGCCATTTTGAAAAAAATGGCCGCCTTCTACCAAAAGTGTCATTAGAATGTGTGCCATGGTTATACGTATTCACGTACCAAATATGAACAAAATTGCTCCACTACTTTTCCAGTTATAGTAAAATAAGTTAAAATGGCAGCCATTTTTCAAAATGTCCACCATTTTTCAAAATGGCCGCCCGCCTTCTACCAAAAGTGTTATTAGACAGTGTGCCATGCTAAAAGTATTCACATACCAAATATGAACAAAATCGCTCCACTACTTTTCGAGTTATAGTAAAATACGTTAAAATGGCGGCCATTTTGAAAAATGACCGCCCTCTACCAAAAGTGTCATTAGACAGTGTGCCATGCGTATACGTATTCACATACCAAATATGAACAAAATCGCTCCACTACTTTTCGAGTTTTAGTAAAATAAGTTCAAAATGGCAGCCATTTTTCAAATTGTCCGCCATTTTTCAAATTGTCCGCCATTTTTCAAAATGGCCGCCATTTTTCAAAATGGCCGCCTTCTACCAAAAGTGTCATAAGACAGTGTGCCATGCTTATAGTATTCACATACCAAATATGAACAAAATCGCTCCACTACTTTTCGAGTTACAGCAAAAATCGTAAAATAACGAGTAAAGGCCGCCATTTTTCAAGATGGCTGCCATGTGCTTTTTTAATATCTACATTTATAGCTTTATTAATGTCCTATATAATTTTTTTTACATTTTAAACATATTGCTATTACAGTTTTACATATTGCACCTAAATTACTGTAAAATCGGCACTAAAATGGCCGCCATTTATAAATGAGCGGCCATTTTGATAATCGGCTTTCGAGCAGAACTTCTATCCCCATAGGGTATATGTGTACAAAATATGAATAAAATCGGGCCAATGGTATTTGAGTTATTGCCCGGACGGACGTACGTACGTACGTACGTACGGAGGCGTTCCCTATATCCCTCCGAACTTCGTTCGATGGGATAACTAATCAAAATTATCATATTAAAATAAGGGTTCTGGACTCACATCTGACATCTGCTTGTCAACTAATCAAAATTATCATATTAAATTAGTTGTGGACTTACATCTGACTTGGGCTTGCATTACGTCCTGAATCAGCACTCCCGCCAGGTGGCGCTGGTGTCGTGAGACTTGTCGACGATGCACTCCCAAGACTGGTCTGCGAAGAGGACCGTTCCGGTGAGCTCTGATTTAGGCTACTACTACTGCTACTTGATGCATCTTTAGATGCTCCTGCTACTGCCTTCTTTGGTGAAGTATCCGCTATTTCAACTTCACTAAGACGTTTGATCTGATGCATAACACCTAGAGAGAAAAAGATGCATGTAGATATAGAGGTTCTTGTATAAATACATGTTTAATTAAGAGTAAAACTGCATATTGGTGATTGTGACTTTATTAAGCAGGGCTGCATAAGAATATCATATCAGAAATTAAGCTCAATCGTAGTCTTGGAAGTTTATGGACCCCTTCTGCAATTTATCTTGAGTTGTATGGACTGTCTCTATAGGCAAAGGTACCATCAAATCAATAATAACAAGGCATTAACATGCAAAATGTCACCACCATTTGTTACGGACGCCAACCACCGATCAGCATAAGCACATTCTTGCTAAATAAAATGTATGTAGTTGCATACGATGAAAAGGTCTTACCTTCTCTTCTGAAGAATACACTGAAAATATCTGGTAGCTTTCCCATAAGGATGTAGGACATTTGTAGGGCACCAACTACAACCTTAAGGTCATGGGAGGCCATCATAGATGCAATATGACTGAAAATGTGAAACAATAGCTTTTGTGCAAAGTACTAATGATCAACATGCATACATTGAGTTTCTGAAACAATATTGGTCTTCTTAGTATCAGTATATATAAAAAAAAAAGATGACATGACTGTGAAGATTATTTCTGAAAATATAAAACATTAAGGATTAAAAATCAGTTACCTTGATACTGCATGTTGCTTGAGAACACTTTGTAGGAGATCTGGGTTTGCAAAGTAGACCATTCGCAAGATAGCTTGAAGACATTTATGCCTCACCGATGGACCAGCCTGAAATGTGTTCAAGCAAAATGTGAAAGTCAGCAGCAAAATGAGAAAATATGACACAAAATATGAAAATGAGCAGCAAAATGAAAAATGTGAAACATGATGTGGAAATGGTAAAATCATTTTTCTTCCAAGAACTTAATATCAGAGGAGAATATTTTTCAAATTACAGTTGTCAAATTACAGTTGTCAAATTAAAGATGGAATAAAATCAAAACGTTAAGAGTTTTGAAACACCAAATATGAAAAGAAATCTATTTCTCTGACTATTACTTACAGAGGAGCTGTATACTTCATATAGAACACCAAACAGAGACTGAATAAACGAGGAAGCCAATTCAGTCTTCTCTGCCAATACTTCCGCTCTCGAGTCACTCCTGGTCACCGATGCAGTTGCTATAGAAACAAGACAAAGTGTATTGATATAGTTGCTATAGAAACAAGATTAAGTTTTAATATTCAACCATGATTCTAACCTACTATCTAAGACCGCCTCTACCTTTTTAGAAGTTCGGGTAAAAACTGCCAAAAGTGCAAACTGAGAATGTGGGAAATAGTTCCTTGTTTCATACATTTTTCTGATATGTGAATATTCTTTATTATACCGAAACATTTTTAAAATTTTGCTCGCGTTTATAGCAAAGTGCTTGTGCACTTACGGTCAAGTGCTTGTGCACCTGTTGTCAAGTACTTATGTACTTACAGTCAGATTTTGCTGCAAGTGGGTTAGGTTTGCGCTGTACAGGACGTGCAGTGCCACTGTCTTCATTGATTTGTTGCATGGAGTGGAAGTCTATAGTGTAGGTCCTTCCCATAGTAGAGAGACATGCTTCATCTTCCCCTCCCTGGTGGGCTGCCTGCAAATATATGGGAAATGTGAAACAATAGAAAATGTGAAACAATGGAAAATGTGAAACAATGAAAAATGTGAAAGAATGGAAAATGGGAAAAAATGGGAAATAGGAAGAGATGAAATGTATGTTGAATGTAAATTATAATCTGAAATGATAAGATTCTCCCCTCGATGTGCTACTTGACAACAAAGAAAGTGTGAGAGAATGAAAAATGTGGATAAAAACATTTAGGATAAAGTGAAATAATGAAAAATGTGAAAATATGGTGTGGTTTCTTTCTATGCAGCAGTTCATCCCTGTAAACTCAATGAATACTTAGATAGATTCTTAACTTAAACACATTCATACCTCGATTATTCTGCTATCAATAGTTGTATATGGGTGCCAGAGTCCTCTATCATCCCTCCATTGCCAAATGACAGCATCTGTGTTAACTGTAGGGTGGCGCCTCAGCATGGAGTCAACTGCAAAGATGCCATCTGTGGGAAGCTTGGGCATCAACTCACTGGAAATAGAAACAAAAATGTGAAAATGGGAGAAATTAAGATACTAGATGTGAACATTATGAAAAAGGTACAAAAAATTGGAAAATATTAAGGGATAACGTAAATGTGAAAATTACAGAGAAAAATGTGAAAAATTATTGCAAGAATACAAGAGAAATATATGCAGTAACATCCATGTAAATCACACCACATAGTTATCTCATCTTTGAAATGCAGTGCAAAAATAGAATGTACTTATTGCTAATTTTCAAAGAAATAAATTGATTTGAAATGTGGATGGTTTATATGTGTCTTACCCTATCAAGCAGACAAGTTCATAAAGCTCCTGTGGAGTTCGGGCCACTAGTTCTATAAGCCCAGTAGATGGCTCTGAGGTCCCCACCAGTAGGAAACACAGTGTGTCTGCTATATCTGAAACACCATAGAACAACATGTATCAATATAATGCAGACCTTAACCTTAAGCCTCAACAACATTTACTCTGACGGCTGTACAGCGCCCATAGCTTCATGAAATAGTTATCTTTTCAACATTAATCAAATTAATATATCAAACCAGGGAGATATCCAGATAAAAATGTGAAATTACTACTTATTTCATCAATTATTAGTAAACAAACAATTATCTTTATGAACATTACATAACAATAGACAAGCATAATATTAAAAAATAGAATATGAAACTGATTAGAAAATGTGAAATATTCTTGAAAATGTGAAAAATGGGAAATATTTACTTTGTTTGAGTAGGACAACAGCCAGATCGGAGCAGTTGGCACACATGACAGCGAGCATCCTAATGACCATCACAAATGTTCCCGTGGGGATCAATGGGGGAGTCACAACCAACTGAAATATGGGAAATGTGAATAAATGTGAAACACAGATAAAGACTGATTTCTCAATTCATTGAGCAATGTGTAAATGTACGCATATCTAAAATGGCCCTATAAATCAATTCTGAGTATTTTATAGAAAATGTTAACAGATAAAGCATATTGATCCAGAATTTATCTCATGAATAGTTATTTCATGTTAAAATGAAAATGAACCCAATTATTATCTACCACTTAAATAGAAAAATTGTACCATTCGCTGGTTCACAGTTCACACAGTACAAAAGCATATTTCTCCAAAAACAAGCAAGAACTAGAAACTTCTTGATAAATTGAATTAACTTAAAAATGTGAAACAAATGTGAAAATTAACTCACCAGTTGTTGTGTGTTACTGAGTAGTCCATGTGCAGCTATTTCTTTAAGGATCCTCTCATCATGTTGGTAATTCTCAACCAGGCGTGAGAAACACAAACAAGTACTCTCAACTGACTTCTTGTCCTGAAATGGGAAACAATATTTGAAACAAAATGTGAAACTAAATATGAAAATGTGAAACTTTAGATAATTCTAAAGAAGAGTAAGAAACACAAAGAAGTACTCTCAACTAATTTCTTGTCCTGAAATGTGAAACAAAATTTGAAACAAAATGTGAATCCAAATATGAAAATGTGAAACTTTAGATAATTCTAAAGAAGAGTAAGAACGGTAGTCTAAAGCCATTAAAGAATCAAAAAGTGCTTAGGAACTTATTGAAGCACTGAGTAACTTGATTTTGTATGTATCCTACACATATGGAGCATTTCTAAAAGTCTTAAGCCAAAAATAATCTGTTAAACTTACTGAAGTATTGACTCTAGCACTGAGTAAAGCGAGAGATTCCCTAACATAGTGGAACTCGTCTGGGTTGATATTCTGGCAACAATTGGCTGTGATTGCCAGTGCACAACGTTGAGCATTGATGGAGAAGAAATCAAGAAACATCAGACAAGCTCCTATACCACCCTATAATAATAATAATATCAAGGCATTCAATGGTAAAACATCTACAGCTGTATACAGAGATCATAATACTCTGACAATTTGTAGTCGAGGAACTTCTCCCACAATAATCTTTGATCATACTATTTAGTTTAAATTTTCAAATAAATTTAGCTATTTAATATAATTTATTCATAAATAGTTTAAAATTTTTTTATTTATTTTTTTTATTTCTATATTTAATTTAATATTTTATTTATCTTTCTAATGAAAATAGCCATTTAGTTTAAATTTTCTTTTGGATTTGTTACAAGTACATAATATTTGGCAACATTGTCTCTAATATTTTCTCATGTCAATTTTTATTATCATTTCTTCAAGATGTAACACCATATAAAACTTCAATGAAACTAACTAATATTTCATAGCTAAAGTCACCCAATAATTTTAATCAAGAGTCATATAAATGTGTAGATAGTAACTACATACTGCATGTAAGATGGCTTTGCAGTGTCTCCGTGACAACATCTCTAATGCTGTGAGGGCTTGTTCAGCAACATCCATGCACTGGATGACTTGAAGCTGAAACACAAACATTCATGATTCAATAGTGTCTCCTTAGCAACAACATCCATGCACTGGATGACTTGTTGCTAAAACACAAAACATTCATGATACAATACTTAGTGTCTCCGTGACAACATCTCTAATGCTGTGAGGGCTTGTTCAGCAATATCCATGCATTGAATAAAATTGTAGCTAAAACACAAAACATTCATGATACAATACTTAGTGTCTCCGTGACAACATCTCTAATGCTGTGAGGGCTTGTTCAGCAACATCCATGCACTGGATGACTTGAAGCTGAAACACAAAACATTCATGATACAATAGTGTCTCCTTAACAACAACATCCATGCACTGGATGACTTGTAGCTAAAACACATAACATTCATGATACAATAGTGTCTCCTTGACAACATCATTAATGCTGTGGGGGCTGAATCTTTGAATAAAAGGACACATGGCTTAATCGTACATTGAATAAAATTGATGCTGTTATCACTGATATCGTGCTTTTCCGAGTTTAAAATTTTTGATTTATGTGGTTACCTTTTCAAGAAAGACTGGCACCGCATCCACTACAACAGCAGATGACCTAGGCAAAGCTTCCATCATATATGTCAGTGCCCGACACGCATGGTTCATCATGTCAAAATTATGCTCCATGCGGAGTAGGGATATCAACGCCGGAACTACTTGTTTTATTGGGAATCCAGCTAGAGTGTCCTCGTTACCCATGACGAGTAGTTGACACATCTCTATGACTGAGGTCAACTGAGAGCCTTCGTCTCCAGTGGATTGTATACCAGTCAATAGTTGTTGGGCTTTATTCACTGAAATGAAAATGCACACTTAAATAAGCGAATGTTACAACACATGAAAAAAGGTAGTATTTAATTTTGTGATCTGAAGTTAGGCCAAGGAAAATTAGTGACTGCATTATGGATTGGAGGACTGGAATAAGGCCAAGGAAAATAAGTGACGGTATTGAATTATGAACTATAGGACTAGGATACTTGCCTTTGATATTGAAAAACAGGTATAAAAATAACTTCCCAATCACAGTGAGTATATAGGAATAAAACATAACTCTTTTATTAACACAGTACTTCAATGTAAGAAATAAATTTTCGTTATTCAAGTGTATGTGTATTTATTTAAACAAAATATTGTAATATAAAGTTGATGTTCACATACTTGTACCACCGCTCATGGACCTGTGAAGCAGCTGATGCATTCTGGGACCAAGAGCCCCAAAAAGATGTGATGGCAGACCACGTGCCTCAAGTAGAGCCTGTAGTCTTCCTACATCTGAGTCCATTTCTCCGTCAGCTTCTGTGGGTAACAACATTGCTGCTGCACCAGTCGTACTGGATGCTGAAACCATTGAGGCTTTTGTAAACTAAATATTTATAGTGTGCATAAATTTTATCATAGTTGTGGTTAAAAATACTGTATGTATAAAATAAAGATTTCTCACATGAATAAACAGTTCAAAATTGAATAAACAGTTCAAAACTGAATAACTGGTCAAATGTTCTTGGAGATGATTCAGGCGGTTTCATAGAAAATATTTTGAAAAGAATTTAAGCCTAAGACTTGACGCATTGTGGCTAATCCATTCCACTCTGGTGTTATTTCCTAAACTTCACTCTCAATGCTGCGCATCTCGTGCAAAGGTTGATATAACACACTTTTGAGGAATGATTCAGTCTGCAATGCACGGAGTCCAGGGCTTAAATCCTTAAACAATGTACTTATTCTCTCACCAGCACTTGCACCTTGTGTGGATTCATCTGTGGGTCCCCCACTACCTTCTGGTCTTGCTCCACTGGATGAACCTTCTCCATCTTGACCAGACATAGCTGTAGAGAATGTTGATGCAGTCGCAGCGAATGCACTGCTGTAAGCTGATTGGTTGGGCTGGGCGGAGTTGCTCTTACTACTAGCCGACCTCCTAGAGCTAATAAAACATATAAAAACTCAAGAATTGTATGAATCAAGCTTAAAGCAATAAATCAAATGAAGCGCCTCTAAAAACAATCAGTCAGAATTAGAGAAATCTTTCTTGATCTATTCTGAACATTCATACAAATATCTAAATAAACTTTTCTGTAACTGTTCTGCGTTCATTATTATTCACTAATTTTGTGTTTCTACAAGCTCAAAATTACTAGATGTGGTCAACATATTGAACATGTATAAATCTAATAATTTTGTTGAAATCCCAAAAAATCGTTAAAATGACAAACTTTTACAATACCTGCTACTTGCGCAGGATCCCGTCTTTCTGTGTCTGGAGCTGCGCCTTAAGCTCTCAAGCTCTGGCGACTTGACCTTACGACCTTTACTCTGCGACCTTGAACTCTGGTTAGAAGTGCTTGGGACTGGCTGACCTTGACTAGGATCAGACTCTTGCTCAAATTTAGCTCGTTTCTTGGGGTATATAAACAAAGATGATGTGGCTTGGTGACTCAGCTGATTAAAATGAAATGTGACAGTGCCGTCACTTGAACCAGGTTGAGTCGTCTGAAATGTAGCACTATTACTTGCTTTCAGTTTCCTTGTGAGTTTCTTCTTTGGAGGCAATTGTTGAGTGGGTATTGAGCCAATGCCAATACCTTGTGTATAATCTGGGGCCGAGTTGGTGTTATTCACTTGTAGGGAAGGTGGCGTAGTAGTCTCAGTTTGGGGTAGATGAGATTTATTTGTGTTATAATAAGGCAACCCTGGTATAAGTGTAGCTTTAGGGTTTGACCTTAATGCTCGTAATTCACTTGGTCCAGAAAATGACCTTTTCTTGCTTTTCTTATTGTTTGTAGGGGTTTCTAAAGGAGGTGTTACATCCAATAATAATTCATTTAAAGTTACAGCTCTTTTTGAAACTGAGGTCTGTGCTTTACTATTAGATGCTTTGCTTTTTGATTTCTGTTTCTTAGATTTAACTTTATTCAGTTGATGAGTTGTATGTGGTGCAGTTGATTCCGACAGACCATTTAAAAGTGCTCCTAAATTAGTGGTGGCTTTAAAAGAATGTGGGCTTCTATCAGTGGTACTAGCTCCTGTAGTTGATGTCAATGTACTAGGAGCTGTACTTGTAACTGTACTTGAATTTGTACTTGTACTTGAAAAACTCCTTTTACGTGTTCTTTTAGCAGGTCCCTGTTGAGAATCGAAGTTAATGCTAGAGTTTGACGACGAAACTGGCCCAGTTCCGTTTGGTACAACCGTGGGCTTTGTTTTTCGACCTTTTGGTTTAGTTTGATTCTGGATGATGAATTCTCCACTTGAGGTTGAAATACGACTTGCACGACGTGAGTCAGACACTAACGCTGCAGTATATTCGTTGTCTACACTCCCTTGACTGCGTGTGCGTCTGCGTGCTGTTTGAGAACCACGTCCTGTAACAAAGTATTGAAAAATAAGAAAGTATTTTATTATTGATTCAATGTCAATGTGGAACTCTTGATTTTGCTACAGATAATGCATCAATTCTGTTTCCTTTTAAACATTCCTAAATTCATTTTCTTGACACATTCTGTAAAACAATTTGCCTGCCCTAATCCACCCTAAGTGTGAAAGAGGCATACCTGAATTTGATTCTTGCGTTGAAGTTAATTTACGCCGTTTTGTTGAGGTTGATTGACTTCTACCTTGACCCGACGGCTGCTTCTTCCGTGTTTGACCCTGATGACCTTCACTCTCGCTACTGTATGAACGGGAGCCCCTAAAATATACAAGAAAATTAGTTATCTTGATAATTAAGTTAGGCAGATTTGAATGACCTGGAAACTTCTGGTAGGCAGAATTGAATGAGTAATCTGACTAACTTTCAAGAACTTATAAACACCTTGATTTTGTCTTTGAGTTGTCTACTTGGACGTCCTGTATTCCTGGGCGGGTGGAGCGTCTTGTAGCAGTTGCCCCCTTAGTGAGAGTTGCCCCCTTTGTGACAGATGCCCCCTTAGTGACGTCACTACTGAGGTCGGCCATAAGAACCCTTGGTCCTGGATTGGTACATGCCCGGGGCAATACCAATTGACAAACTGCAAAACACGAATAACAGTTAAGAACATTATACTAATTACAACTGAAAAGTACAAGTAATCAGGTGAAAAGATAAGAACATGCAATGATCTTCTTGGGGATTTTTTCAACTGAGTGCTTAAAGATGCATTATGCCATAGGTTTCTCCCCCAGACAATCAATGATGTCCTATTGTTATTGCTCATATAATAACTCACATACCATGGATATATCTTGAGAATAACTTTTGGGTATATTATTGCCGAACTATCGGAAATAATCAACAGAACAACCAAACTCCAGAATTAAACACAATAGATTGCTCGGCTAGCGAGGGGAATCCCCATTGAGTCACACGAACGCCCACAAGCGCCTTGAACCAGGCAGCCTATAAGGTTTATGATAAACAAATCCAACGACCAATCAGATAAGAGGAGGACTTTTCGGTATATTCAAACTTCAGATTGAATTAATTTCTTCGAAAATAATTAGATCGGCCAGCACAATTGCAAAATTAACACTGAAATAGGGGGATTTGGGACTTCTTCTTTGGTAAGTAGATGGGTATATATGTGGTGAAACTCAATATGCAAAAAAGTCCAGAGGGGTATTGATTGTGCTATCCTATGGCATAGAGCCTCTTTAATCCTCATTCTACTGTACTCCCAGTTAATTTTGTGAGTTTTGATTTCATGAATTTTGAGCAATTGCAATAACCCAGATTCGAGTAGAAATAATCTTGATTTACGTCATAAAAATCAGTCAAACTAATATCATATTTGAAATCTACATGTAAAATTACATCTAGAATGTGGTTTTAAAAAGTGTTTATCAACTTTTAAAATTAATTTTCTTTGAAAATGTGACTTCTAGCTCGGGAGATTCCCCATAGACCCCATGCTATAAAAGCACAAAAAAATGAAATGTCTTTTCTTTTAGTGGACAGGTAATATTTTGCTTTACTGGACATATTTTCATTAGTATAAGTATCAGACGCATAAGGGTTATATGAAAACTGAGCCACTTAAATTGATAATATTCAAGTTTAAGGGAACTTTCTCATAAACCTGCCATGTTAATTGACCCGAATCAGCCACCTGGTGGTGAAACTGGTAACTACCTACTAGCATTTGGGTAATTGAAGGCCATTCAATTTTGCTGATTTCACAAATTTATTTTCATTAACCTCTAAATCGAACATTAACTGCACCTAGTAAATGTCATATTTGGATAAGATTTACAATTACTAGATCTTGGTCTAAAGCATGCTGCACCTCAACCTCTACTACATCATTATTTTTTGGATGGTTTGGTCTAATAGGCCAGTATAAGAGACATTGTTGCTAGTATCCCATGTATCGCTCAATAACACTGGACTGACAAAATACTCAAAACATCGAAGTCCCAGATAATAACACATTTAACAAATCCCTGAGGATTGGCAAGTTTTACCACGATTATTTTTCACAAGTTCACCATTATCCGTGCAAAATTAAATGACATGCAAAAATACTTGGACAGGAGTACAATGTCTGCTTTTTGGTAAAAGTATCTCAATATATCACACTTTTGGGAGGAGCTGAGATTTTCCATTGGAGGAAATGTTATTTTCAGATTGGGCGCTGCACCAAAATGCTCTTATGCTGGGGAGATCACTCGATAAGAACATTCATAATTTTATTGAGGGACAATTATGTTACAAACTGAAAAAGTACAATGTGGTTACACCTTTATAGACTGCTAAGGAACGATTTCAATTTTAAAGGGGGCAGGTAAAGTAAGTTTGAAAAGAACTGGAGTCAATCCAAAATGTAACGATTATATTTTGGGATATCATTGAAATATTAACAACCAGATGAATGTGTTATTTAAGGGATAGTGTCAGTAGCTGCAGAAAACTTAGTCAAGCTCTCATGGTACTAAAAAGGAAATGACAAAATAGGAAGTGACAAAACCATGCTGTAAATAAAACATTTTTTGAACCAAGATAACAGAGTTCAGTTTTGACCTCTAGTTTCACATATCATTTACATGGCTAGGATCACAATGTACATAGTCAGAATGACCCTAAACATGATGAAATAACTTTTGTGACTGTGACTTCATGTAAATGATATGTGGATCTAGTTAAAATGACTGGAGGTCAAAACAGAACATGTTATCTTGGTTCAAAAATGGTTTTGTCACTTTCTATTTTTTCATTTCCTGTTAGTACCATGAGACCAAGGAGGATTGGCTTCCAGGATCGAAACTCGATATTTTCCAACAATGTTGTTATTTTCTGAAATTCTAACCGACTATAAATTTAGTGGGGGGAATTTACCCCTATATTAGGCAGAATATTTCAGATGGTGATACAAGTATAAACTTTGGCTTTTCTGCTTCTTAAAACCTTTTTCAAAAAATCTGTCCCTGTGATCGACGGAATATTTCACTTCTTCCCCCCAAAATCCAAGATGGCCGACAAAGTATGACTTAAATAACATGTAGGGTGGGCAAAATTTCTTTTTTTTTGGAAAATTCATGCTCTCATGGTGAAATGTTGTTCTTAAAGGTGAAAATAGTCATGTGAATTTTTTTCAAATTTTTAAACTGAATTTTAGCCCTCTCCCATGGCCCCAAAGTGTGACGATTTGGCGTAAAATGGGAAATAATGTTCATTTTCTAGGTTCAAATAAAGAATGCAATGACAAATATCATTAATTATTATTTAAAAAACATCTAATAACTTTGCCTGATACTACAATATGAAGATTTCAATTATTGAAAAATTGAAAGTATTTTTTAAAAAGCGTTGAAAGTGCCCTACCCCATAAAATTGGAAAAAGGAAGTTGTGGTCAATTTTATCATTCTGTAGGATTAAGTTAGAAACGTACATCAACAGAAAACAAATAAGTACATTCAGACCATCTTCAAAGGTAACTGGATATTATAATATGATTATTATAACTATATAGGACACAACATATTTTATATATGTGTATGATTATATGTTTATGGAATACATGTATCACTATGTAATTGTAATGTAATCATGAAAAAGAGAGGTTGCTTTGATTTCATCAGAGTATGATTAGACATGTTTATCTCTATGTTTAGAGCTGTAGTATACAACATGCACACATAACACATAATACTGTTATGAACTCAAGTCAAAATAAATAATTAGGAGTTAAGCAAGGTTCATTCCTGACACCCTTCTTATTTTGTATACTCACAAGTTGGTACAATGGATACTCTATTTAATTTAATGAATTTAACATCATTGGTACTACTGTTCTATAATTAGGAATATACATTCACTAATTTACAACAAAATCAGTTTTTAAAAGTCATTATTACATAGAAGTCGTTTAAGGTTCACTTTTGACACCCTTCTTATTCTTTACACTTACAAATGCACTAATTTACAACAAAATCAATTCGTGTAAATTGCCAAAACAACTGAACATTGAGTACTGAGTGAGTTTTGCAGATTTATCAATATCAATGTATTTACCAATACCATGTTTTACAACTACAACACAAATACTACCAGCAAGAAAATAATTGCAGAATTTTGACATTAGTTTAAACAATGGAGTGTCATTGCTTGTGGCACTATTGTCCTTCAGGTTTTGTTGTGATTAGCATCTTTAGTCTTTTTTGTCAGTTTAATTTCCATTTTTTCTGCTTCTACCCCTAAAGCTGCATACAAACTCAGAGAGGTTGGAAAACAGGTTGATCAAACCTCACTCAGTTATTCAGCCAGCTCTGCACAATGCAGCCATAGTCACCATTTTTCTGTTTGGCCTATTTCTAAGAGAGCCTTGTTCCACTCTGTTGCTGTAACTCTAGCAGAATTTAACAGCCAGGAAAGGGACTATCATATTGGTCTGATGTGATGACAATCAAGTCATTTGGGCAATAAAGGAGTCTCATTGTAATAGTCATTACAATAACTCACCTTCCAATCTGTTGCCTGAATCACATATGTTGCTTTAGGACTCTTTGGGCAGTTTGAAGTACTTGTGACAATTGGGTCAATATTTTGATGTTCTATTAGGCCGTCCTGCCTTGCCTAGTTGGTTGGGTAAGTTTTGTGTCATTTAGTATTCTATAAGGAAATGACAGGGAGCAACATATGACTGCAACATTTGATATGATTCCCAGGTTACTAGGTTTTTTAGTTCAGTGAAGATACACAGAATGGCTATTTCAGTGTCATTTGCTAGAGTGACCCCATCAATCCATGAAAATGTGATACGGTACGTTGGATGTGGGTTACCACTTCTCATTTTAAATTCATTGCACTCCTTGTGGCTCCTTTCATAAGGATGTTCATAGCTGCCATGAATAGTATAATATGCAGCCTGCCATGATTCCCTTCTCTAAAGGCTGCCAACCAGTTGTGATTGTTTCAGTCAAGAATCTCAACTGAATACCTTCAAGGTGCTCTATCTCAAGGCCAATCACATGTTGAGGAACATTATAATGCTTCAAAGCTATTGAGTTCATTTGTGTGGTACACTGCTGCCTTAGTTATATCAAGCCATACAATTGGCAAGTTGGTTTTGTGTTGCTTTGTTTCTGCTATTAGCTGTGTTATAGCTGCAACATCACATGGCCTTTACTATTGACCTCACTGTAGACAACTCGACATGGGGCTCTAAACCCAGCAAGTCTCTAGACATGTTTAGTTTGCTTTTGTAAAAAATCTGTACTTAAATGTACAGTATTGTGCAATTCCACATGTAATTCTGTATAATTGTCTTGTCAACTTGCCCTTATTTCATCATACTATTAAGAGATTGTGATAATAATGGACTAAGGTAGAACCTTGGACGACTACTTCAATGTTTGCATTGATACTTGGTTGACAATATTCTCATTCAAACTTGAAATATATTCTTGAATTATGTCTTAGATATTAAATGTATTAGAGAATGTTATAAAGAAATTCAAGTTCTAACAGAGAGGGCCAAAATAGAACCTTGAAGAACTCCTATAAAACTCTTTTTGCCAAAATTCAAATCAAAGAAGATCATAGCATTTCTAAATATATTTGCATTTGCACCTATTTTTTAACCATATTATCTCTATGTATGAATCTAAGGTGTCATTTTTACCGAATTATGTACATATTTCGACAACCTTAAATTTTTTACTGAAATAGCATTAGGTTTGGCTGACTCGAGGGATGGAATTTTTCTTATTTGCCTAATTAACTGACAGCCCATAAATTTGCATATCGCAATTTTGAATATTTTCCACCGAATTCAAAGAGATTGTGATAATAATGGAGTGTAGTAGAACCTTGCGGGACTCCTTCAAAGTCTCCTTGGTACTTGTAAGACAGTGTTTTCATGTAAACTTGAAATATTAGATTGAATTATGTGTGAAATATCAACATTATTCAAGAACACAAGTTTAATGACTAAAGTTGTTGCAAAATAAGAGTGCTCCCAAAATAGAACCTTGTAGAATCCCTATATAAAGTCATTTTGCCCAAATTCAGCTCATTAATGAATGTAACTGTATTTCTAGATATAATGTACATGCTTTACTACTGAATCAATGTAATTTTAAACCATATTTATCTCTATATATGAATCTAGAGTGTCATTTGTATCGAATTACACATATACGGCAGCCATCTTGAATTTTTTCCTGAAATAGTGTTCAGTTTGATTGATCACAGGGACAGAATTTTTCCAAATAGTTTAAATAACAGATTAAGCCAATAAATTTGCTTGTATCACCATTTGAAATATTTTCCACTAAATTCCCCCCACTAATTCAAAATAAACAGTTCAAAGAATTTGAACCAATATCTTGATCAATTCTTTTGAGTTTTGGTATTTTTCATTATGAAATTAGACCAAAATTGACGATTCAAATGATGAAGTGAACAAAATGGTTGAATTTTGTATCACAACATGCCCATATATGGGACAGATTATCAATGTTACACTCTGGTTAAATTTGAAAGGGAGGGGGAGATTAACAAGTTTTGGCTATATGACTAAGTGAAAAACATCAACTGGAGACAAAAATATGGGAGATGTGACAAACAACAAACTACAAATTACTGTTAACGTAAGGGCACAATCTTCAATTTGTGCTTTGTAAGAAAATGTCAAAAACCTTTTCTGATATTCAAGATTTAGACTGATGAACAATGTGGAACATCAAATAGCCAAAATGTCAGATGGAGGATTATGGGAAATTCTGCATGTTAATTCCTTGTAAATTTCTTGCTCATCTTGGTGGCTTCACTTGGGTGGATATACACTAATATTTGTTTCATCATTCATGATAGCTGTTATGCATAGGCTAGGGCTTAAACTGATTGATTTGACCTCATCCAGTGTCACTTTTCTTGTGTAGAGTCAAAAATGAACAGGACCCATTCTCAAGAAACTAGCTGTGGACACGGGGGTACATTCACTTAGTCAAGCTGTAATCTTCGTTTTTCTAGACCCAACATTTATGTTGCTTATATTTACAGTGCAAAGGTCACGCACTCGTCTGCAACATTTTACAGCATTTTATGCTCCGCCATTTGCTTTTTTCTCTGCTTTTGTCTGTGCTTTCAAGGTCATTGTTTTACTTACTGAATACAAGTCATGGCCTGAAGGGGTCAAATCTATGTTAACTGATTTGATATTTATTTCATTGTTTCCGAATCAAGTGTCATTATTGCTCGTGGAACTGAACATAAGGCGTTCTCTGTAAAGGTCTTGATAGGGAAACAAAGACGCCATTTTTCTTTAAAAAATGTGAAAATAACCTTAAGCAATGAGCTAATTTCTCGCTCGTTTGTCATAGTACACTAAAAAATATCCAATAAATAAGAGTCATACATACTTATAATTCCAATATATTACTCTTTTTTGAGATATATGCCAGTTTGGAGTAGTTTTGGACGATTTATGCGAGACGTCTCCGAATCTGGATCAATGATATTCTGTACACCGAATCACATACCAAAATATATAGATCCGTCTTAAGATATAGTCCATAAAATTACATACTCAAAATTAAATCAGTATAAAAAAACAGTATGCTTGATTAATTACTATATCATGGATGGAATAAACTTGTTTGACAACAAAAAGTATGCATTTATCACATTTGTTTTACTATTAAAACGCATTATACAATAAATCAGATCAATGCGCGTATATGTATTTAGTTTTCGTTTTGTGCTGCACTGCGCGAAACATTATGTCGCAATACACAAAAACTCGGGGTACAACACTTTTTCATTGATTTTCATTTTTTGTGAGATTCTCACTTCTCAGATTTGTTAAACGCAGGTAATATAAAATATTTTTTTTCAATGAAGTACACTTTTATTTAAAAAGCAATCCGTTTGACTGACATAGGCTTAGATCCAATTGTTGCCCAAGGAGAGAAAATGCTGACAACTTAGAACTAAACGTTTAACCTTACATATTGAGCCATATTGACCCTTTTCCATATAAAAAACATATGGCATCATGGGCATTGGTAGGGCTAGAATACATGTTAATGTATTGCCAGAGTCACTTAATTTCTTGATTTAAGAAATAATTCCATTTGGATCAACTTAAAACTCCATTAGAATGTAACTATATGATCTTACTGACACGTGGATTGTGATTTTACATTAAAATTGTGATCCTTGTAAGAGTTTATGCATTTTTAACGGTTTTTTAGCCTGACCTCTTTTAGACAACTGGAAGATCATTAGATTTTGATTACAGGTAAATAACAGTGCAAATCAAAGTTGTTTTGTTTGAAAATTACACAAAGAATTCAAATATGGTATCAAATAGAAGAAAATGTTAGTCTTTAATGGTTAAAGATGCAGATCTCCTAAAATCTCATTAAAAAACGAGACTTTAACACAATTTCAAAGCTATATGGAAAGAGGACCATTACGAATGTTGTGTTCCATTTTCATAGTAAAAGGGTAGTTATTCCTTCTAAACCTTTAGGTCTCAGGGTATTTTAACAAGCTATTCACAAATGTCAACGTTTTATGAGACTGTCAGTGAAATAAAAAATACATTAAAATTATTTTATAACTTTTTATTTGCTTCTTAAACATTATTTACATTTACATAATATATACAGACTGTACATTATCTATTCTGCATTCAAACAAATGATGAATGCAAATACTGGAGTTATCAATTGTACATGGCAAAATATCAATAGTACCCCTCATACTTTTCAAGAAATCAAATAAACCAACTTTAAATATTAAGCCTAATCAGTAGTTTAGCTTTAACACAAGTTTTTTTTTATTCAAAACACTGTTACTAAAATCATTGAATACAATTTGAGATTAAGTTATAGAAAAATATTTAATTTTTTGACAACATTTTGTGTGGGGTACTATTCATACTTTTCTTGATGGCAGATTTGAACAAGATATACAGTCATTTAGTACCATTACTAGATGTAACACAATAAAATCTGCATATCCAGACAAAACACCTATTGATGTTAAAGCTTTTTAGTTTTTAAGGCCCAATTTTGTTCTTTATTTACTGAAATAAAATGTTTAAACATTTATATTTAAACACCTATTTTTAATGCTTGGATTGTACTACTGCAGTTCTACTACAGTGCTACAGATCAGCAAGCCAATCTTCTATTTACTAATTACTACATACACCTGAGTAGATTTGAACAATTATCAAAATGAATTGAGAAATTCACTCTCATGTTTTCATTCAACTTTAAAATCTGAGCCAGGGGCCAAAGGAAAAAGGGTCTAATCACAGATTTTTTCAATATTTTGATTTTTTGTTTATCTTAAAAAGCACAGAGACCTTTCAAATGAGCCATGTCCTATGTCTTAACAATTTTTCCGTGCAGATATAGACCAAAAGACAGATTTGAATTTCGCACATCTTCCTCATAATCTTGAGCACATTTTTGGCTCTGAAGCACAATTCTAATTTTTGGTGATAAGACTGGATTTCCTATGGCCAGTATAATGGTTTTCCAAACAAAATAGCATTGCTGTTCAAACTGCTTGAACAGACAGCTAATACAATGTACATGATGTAGCTCTTTAAGAGAAGAAAGCAAAATAATGCAATGTGATAATGTATATAACAAAGTAAAAATATAAATTGGTGGACGGACTTCAAAAATGTAGAATAGATCTATGTAAGTACAAACATGTCTTAACTTAAGTTTTAGTCTTGCTTCAAGACCCTTGAACCCCCTCCCCCTATCTGCTTTAAAACAGGTTGTTAATGTAGATAAGGGGAGGGGTCCTTGGTCTTGAAGCAAGACTAGTCAAGTATTTAAAATACATGTGTGAGCATTTTCCACATTGTATCTATTGACTCCCATGTTATTTAGGGATAGTGTCATATTATCAACAGTCATGGAAAAACAAAGTTAATCTCGTTATGATTTGACCCCCTCCCCACCCACATCCCCTCATCTAACAATTTTAAAATTAGCACTAAATAAACTTAATCATCACTCATCCCCTCCCCTAATGAAACTAACTTTGTTTTTCCACAACCATTGATAATGGAAACCATCCTTTACATCTCTTAATACATAGTCAATGTAAACCATTTATACAACAATTCATAAGAGATGTTTATGTTAAAAAAACATGGCTAAAGTAAAATTGGACGGATCATAGGAATGTCAACAATTATTTTGCTGTATGAAATGCATGATGGTGTAAAATAAAAACTTTCAATGATTAATTAAATTTTAGTTTTTAGTTTTTTAGTTTTTTAATCCTTCAATAAATATAACTTATTGTATGATTGGTGACTGGCAGCAGGTTACATCCTTTAGTATAAATCTAGATGACCAGCAGATTTTTTTTGCTATTTTGAATTCACAATGAGGCACTTAGTTCAACTGCTTCTGGATACATGTACTATAATTTGTAATTCATGTAATTAATTCAAGAATGATTTGTCTCTGTAATAATTAAAACTTTTTTACTACTTAATCTTACTACTTAATTCCTATGTTTTACAGTCACTGAGGCTACAGAAATATCCAGGCTAAAGAACCATCAGGCTACAGAAACATAAATATAGAATTGTTGAGGATACAGAAACATTGAGGCTATAGAGCCATTGAGGCTACTGAAAGATTAAGGCTATAGAGCCATTGAGGCTAGATACAGAAACATTGAGGCTATAGAGCCATTGAGGCTACATAAACATTGAGGTTATATTATAAACATAAATATGCTATATTGGAACCAAAATAAATCCCTAAACAGTTTAATAATTATATTAACACAACTTGGTTGCAGAGTTATCACAGTCAGTGGCAGATTCTATCATATTATCTTCAAGTATGCAATATGTAAACATGAATGATATATGTAATATTTTATGTTTCTCTTAAAGGGGCACCAAAGACTAGAGCAATGGCAGATTCAATCATATTATATTCTTGTATGCAATATGTAAACATGAATGATATATGTAATATTTCATATTTCCCCTAAAGGGGCACCAAAGACTAGAGCAATGCAAATGTTTCCATTTGAAGTTATTGAAAATATAAGATGAGACATGTCCAAACCTTATTTGAACTAAAAAGTGGAAATAAATCCTTAGCTTGTCTCTAGTCTTTAATGCAACTTTCATATACACTTTAACAAGTATTTCTTACAACTTTTTTATTCAATCTGAATATAAACAGCAGAGCTCCTATGGAATATTTTCCAATTTATCATTGATTTCCTCATTTTCAATGCACTCTTAGATTTTAATCAATGGAGATTTTGCAAATACTTTTTCATGGACCAATAAACCAAACTCATTTGTAAATATCAAAATTATTTTGATTTCCAAGGAATAAATCCTTCAAAATCCTTGGAGTCTTTGAGAATATTTTGATAAATGAGGGCATTCTTTTACACTAATAAATAACAATTGCCGGAATCCTTTTTTACTGAGCATTGTAGAACAATCATTCTCGAATTCTTACTTTCAATTAAAACTTTAACTTTAAAACTAAAGTTAAGACAATATACTTATTTTTGTGAAGTGCTTAATATTCCAGATGGAGCAATGGCGGACATCTTCATAAAGCATTGAATTTAATATACATGTAGTTTAAAATCAAACAATGGAGATAATTCAATACCATACTGCTTTACTTATATTATATTCCTTTACAGCAACATGGGATTGTAAACTAGCCTCTTGTTTTATGGCAACATTGTCTTTAACATCTATCCTATCATATCAAACAATTATATCTAGAATATATAGAAACAATTCAAACTTACAAATACCATATTCTCTCTAATGGGCGCATAGTTCCAATGAGCGCAGATGGGACTTTAATGATGAATATGATCTCAAGAAAACACAAAGTTTATGCATTAGTTTCAATTATTTACACAACAAGATATCAATTCATGATTATATGTAATGCAGAGAAAGAAATATAGGAGCTGTAGTATGTAAACCTTAGAGATAACAACCAAAAAGATTAATCAATATTTTTTTTCTGAAATTTCTGCATGTGCGCTTATTGAAATCTTTGAATATTTTACCCTTTTAAATTTAACTTTGGGGAGTACACTCAATAGAGAGAATATGGTAATTTCAATGTTCAAAACATGGACATCATACCCATGTTAAAAACATTTAATCTCATTCTATGTACAGTTCTTTTCAGCGTTAAAATCATGGCTGAGAATATAAATTTTCCTTCTCATTTGGTGTAATGCATTTAGTACTGTATTTGTTTTAATGTTACACAAGCTTTTATTTAGCTGATTTTATTGAGTTTGAAATTTTTGCCCAAAACCCTGAAGAATAATAGTGTATGTAATGGCACTAATACTTATAGAACAATAATATGATACAGTCTCAACTTTTGCCATCTTCCAAAAAATTTCAGGGGAGTTCACAGAATTTGACAATTTTTGCCCAAAATCACTTGGAAATTGATCAGAACGGTGGAAAACTGCATAATTTTGAAAGATTTATTGACCAGTGCATTGTTCGCTTGAACCACCCAAACCCCCTGACTATGGGCCTGTGATATTTTATGTGTTTTGGGTCTAAATATATGTTTTTATGGCTTCCTAATTAATACTGATTCCCTGACAGCCCATTTCTGACTTTTATATCATATTGGTTTGGGCCTAGGTTTCTTTGCTTTATATCAGTAATGCTAAAATTCACCAACTAAATAGGCATAAAAATGAATTTAAATAATGCCAAATTAATAACAAATACAGTTGGCTCATCTGTTGAGTCCTAATGTTTGTTGATGTGTCACATGCTCAATAAGGCGGAAAGTTTTGTATCAAGTTGATCAATAAGTTCTTGAAAAGGCTCTGATATGAAGACAGACTTTTTCTCGTAACTTATTGATCAACCTGGTATGTACAATATGGAGATTTTTTCGATTGGGGACATTTTATTCATCAGTGTTTTCCGTCATGAAAGCCTCTTCTGGTACAAGTCCCTCCCCTTTTTCTGATAATTTACGCTTCCTTGCTTGTCTTCTTAACTGAACCTGAAAATATAATGATCCCATTTTTGATAGTCGTTTGATACTAGTTTGGTCTATGTTATTCATAGAAAAACAATTATCTGATAACAATTGAACTATACATGAACCGATTTACAAACTTGAAATTTTGATAGAGAATTTTGCAATTTAAATGGGTTTCCCTAATAGGGTCAAACACTTTCGATAAAAATAATTTTGAATAAATATACTGATAATTTGACAGGGTCTGATTTACTAACCTGAAGTTGTAGTTTGTTTGTAAAGAAAAGTTTTTTCCAGCCTTCTTTTTCTGCCAAGTCCCGTAACTCATCTGTTACTGGAGTTTCACTACTATCAATGTAGATCTTTTCCCATAATTCATTACTGCTACAAAGCTAAAAATTTAAAAATTCATAATATTACATGATAACATGGGAATATATACAGCTAAATAAATGACAATTTATTTGTTTTATTTTATTTTTTTGTGGAAACTATAACAGGGAGATTATTGGAGCCCTGTGTAATTCAAAAAACAGGAAAGGAAACAGAAAAGGCTTGTAACTCTACTTACTTATGTCCACTTACTTTCAGTCCCTCCTACTTACATCTGTGTCCCCCTCTTTCATCCCACACCACCCTACTTACAGTCACCCAAGTCACAGTCCCCTCCGCATACTTCCAAATCTCTATAACAGTCACAATCTCCCCCACTTCGATCACCCCTAGTTAAACCCCTACTTACATTTGCACCCCTCCCCTTCCCATGCCCAAACCCCCTACTTGAATCCCCAATCACTCCTACTTACATTTGCACCCCTCCCACTCACATCCCCAATCCCCTACTTAGATCCCCAATCACCCCTACTTACATTTGCACACCTCCCCTCTCACTTACATCCCCAATCCCCCTACTTAAATCCCCAATCACTCCTACTTACATTTGCACCTTCGTACTTAAATCCCCAATCACCCCTACTTATATTTCCAACCCGCCCCCTCTTCCACTTATATCCTTAATCCCCCTACTTGAATCCCCAATCACCCCAACTTACATTTGCACCCCTCCCCATCCCACTTACATCCCCATCCCCCTACCTAAATCCCCAATCACCCCTACTTACAGTTGCACCCCTCCCCTCCCACCCCAATCCCCCGACTTGAATCCCCAATCACTCCTACTTACATTTGCATCCCTTCCACTTACATCCCCAATCTCCCTACTAAAATCCCCAATCACCCCTACTTACATCTGCACCCTCCCTCTTCCGCTTACATCCCCAATCTCCCTACTTAAATCCCCAATCACCCCTACTTACATTTGCACCCTCCCTCTTCCGCTTACATCCCCAATCTCCCTACTTAAATCCCCAATCACCCCTACTTACATCTGCACCCTCCCTCTTCCGCTTACATCCCCAATCTCCCTACTTAAATCCCCAATCACCCCTACTTGCATTTGCACCTCTTCTTCTTCCGCTTACATCCCCAATCTCCCTACTTAAATCCCCAATCACCCCTACTTACATTTGCACCTCTTCTTCTTCCGCTTACATCACCAATCTCCAATAGTACATCGCTAATCACTCCTACTTACAGTTGCATCCTTCCCTCTTACATCCCCCTCCCTCTTACTTACATCCCAAACCTCCAATACTTACATCTCTAAAATGTTTGGAGACCTGTGCCAGATGAGCAATATCTTCTAACTCTAGGAAGCGAATGATTCTCAATGCTATGTCATTCTCTAGTCTGGGCAGATAGTCTAGGCGTCCTTGTGTTATCCCATGTACATACTCAACCATGCCCTTGCCAAACACCCTGTGGATCTCACCTATAATGCATTTATTACATACAATATAATGCATTTATTACAAACGATATAATGCATTTATTACATATGATATAATGCATTTATTACATACGATATAATGCATTTATTACATACGATATAATGCATTTATTACATATGCATTTATTACAAACGATATCATGCATTTACATTTGATATAATGCATTTATCACATGATATAATGCATTAATTACATATGGTATAATGAATTCATTACAAACTTTTTGGAACTTAAACACTTTTATCAAAATTTCTACTCAACAAAAATTTGAACATATGATGATCCTTAATACATAACAGTGACTCACAGTATATTCATTTCAAATAAAGAGATCCTCACTCAAAATTATAAAATATTACAAATTCTTCCAAATACACTTAGCCTACTGATAGATATTCATATTTTATTCCATAATACTACTGTTTTCCCAGGGAAATATGAAGGAATAAAAATCGTATTGAATCGTGTTACATGAAAAAATCGTATTGTCCCCGGGAAAAAAATCGTATTGATGCGTATCACATGAAAAAATCGTATTGTCCACGGGAAAAAAATCGTATTGGAACGTACTAACCTATTTTTGGTTTTCCTGTTATTTTTAACCTTACCTAATTGATAAAAGCATTTTCAAAATGTAACATTTTAGTGGAATGTATTATGGAATAAATAGGTTATTTCTGGTCGGGATTGAATATGGGTTTCATTCCTCGGAAAATATGATATTGACCTTGGGAAATATCATATTGACACTCGGTCGCTGCGCTCCCTCGGTCAATATCATATAACCCTTCGGTCAATATCATATTGTCCCTCGGAATAAAACCCATATTCAATCCTTCCCAGTAAATAACCTATATATATTTAATGATACGAGAAATATCGTTCAGCTTTTCAATGATATTTAGCACTGCAATGATATCTATAGCTCCTTCAGTTTGATATTTTTGAAGAAAAAAAAATTAAACAGCCATCTAGTTATTGATTAAAATTTATTAAATTTTCCCATGTAGGCTATACATGACAATATTCAGCTATAAAATGGCAATGTCAAAATCAAAATTCAAAACGAAACTACTTTTAATTTTAAAAATGCATACAGTAAAAGTTAATTATGCTTTGGGATATCATTGAAACATTTTCATGGATTCTTACTCTGCAAGCGTTCATCATATTCAAAGTCCTCATAGGGTCCTCGTATCTCTGTTGGGGGAAACTTACCCTCCACACGGGGGGAGATTTTCCATAAACGAAATATAACCTTAAATAAATAAATAACATTCATGAACATAAAACAGTAAATAATTTAAATAAAGTAGTATGGTACAACCCATATTCTAGTCATGTGTTAGTATGTATAAATAATGACTCCCATTGGGAACACTTTTCAGAATCCAAAGACCAGTTAAATAAACCTCTATGGAAAATCTCCAAAGTGGAATACATTTGAGAGGTATCAAAGGTGTTCCACTTGGACATGTTTTACTCTTAGTAGTGCAAAATATAGGATTTTTGTTATTTCCTGGGTAGGTGTCAGGCACCATTATTTGCTATATGTGTCATTGTGAGAGGATTCTTTCATTTCTAAATAGGAATTACATAGAAATGGTTACATATAACTGGGAAGATGAAAAGGACTACATAAATGGAGTATATGATGAAAGAAGTTGAAGAACATTTACAATAAACCTTTTGCTGATCAACAGAATTACAAAGATGTTCACAATTACACAGCTGTATTATGTATACAGTTAGTATACATATATATGAACAAACAGGCCCTTTGTCAGTTTTTGCCAAGGGGGTACACTTTTCAGAAAAATTCCAGATGGACCCCTTTCACTGGCACGTGAAAAATACCCAGAATTGTGAAAAACTGCATGACATTGTGTTTATGCTACCCCTCATCTTCAAAAATTAAATGGTCCTTTCTTAGGTTTAAAATAAGTGCATAGCTTGGAGAAAATCAAAGAATAAATTGAGATAAAATAAATCAATACATATTATTTACTTTGCATTCATAGAATGATGTCATCTTATGCCAATGTTCTCCAAGTAGTTTTGTTCAGTGCATGCCTTCTTACTTTTGAAAATTTTGAGTTTTATGAATTAATCATGTGATTCATTGAAATTAAATTAAGACATTGAATCTTTACACTCAGTTTATTTGAACTAGAACAGTTTCTAGTGAATCAATGGTTTGCAGAGATAAGGAAGGAAGCATAATTGCACTGGAGTAAACGGATATTAAATGAAGATAAACAATTAACATAAACATATGAACAAAATACATATTAAACAATGTGGCTTATGTACAGCTTACTCTGCATCTTCTCATCATAATCAAAATCCTCAAAAGTGCAAGTGTACTGAGCAGGGGGTGGTGGAGACAGGTTTATCTCGCTCAAGCGTGTGATCTTCCATATGCGCAAAATCATCTAAAAATGAAGGAAATGATGCTACATCTCAGAACAGGAAGAGTAGTCAAAGTACCTAACGAGTAAATTTCTTATTTCCCAGGGGCAAAGTTGTCAAAGAAATTGTCAGGAAGAGTGTAAAGTTGCTACTACAGTCCCAACTGTAGTGGCTAGGCCTTATCATGTTATGGCTCAGGGGTAGGGCTTCGGACTCTGGAGTGGAAGGTTTGTTTGATTCATGCAAGGGGCATTAAATTTAGTACACTCCCTTTCATTTCCAGTATCTGACTTGTTGCATCATCAGGGCGTCATCCTTCAAGGGGGATATGACCCTCGATAACAAGTTGCTACTACAGTATGAGCATTAGTGGCTAGCTTGTATGGCTTTGGACCATGGGGTGGAGCATTCCGGGCTTGATTCCCACATGGGGTATTGAATTTTGCACTCCTTAGAACTAGCCTACAGTTACTCACTTCGAGAGCCATGCTAGATTTTCAATTTATGGCTCTCGAACGGGGAAATGGACAGCTGAATAATCGTGACCTCTGAAACACGAATTGAATCAATCAGTGTCGATCAGCGCCTTACTTTTGTTCTCTAACTATGTCATACATCATTATCATCCTTCCATGCAAGTATTGGAGCGCTGAAGTACTTCCTTTTCGATCAAGACTTGTAATTGTTAGTCGAGTGAATCTTTTTTTCTGCAAAATTCCAATATGGCGTTTTCTGCTCGGACATTTTTGTAAATCTCCGGAGGTTGTCCGAACCTAACTCATTCTCAAAATTCATTTCGTTCGTTGCGTATCTCGCTCCTAGCAAACCGCCATATTGGAAATGGGTCGAAAAAAACATTCACTCGACGAACGATTTACAAGTCTTGATCGAAAAAGAAGTATTTCAGCGCTCCAATACTTACACGGATTGATGATACCGATGGAAGACACAGTTAGAGACCAAAAAAAGTAAGCCACTGATCGACGCTGATCGACTTAATTCGTGTTTCAAGGGTCACTATTATTCAGCTGCCCAAGTGCGCCGTGGGAAAGCTATTATATCAAAATCCACATAGCTTTCGCAGTAAGTAAGCCTACAGCACCCCGGACGAGCATCCTCGGGTCGTTACAACTGTATGTTCTCTTTCAACAAGATTTGGGCGATTTGAAGAGTTGGAGCAGTCAAAAACATAATGTAGGTGACATTTATACAGCTAATTTATTCCCCTCTTGTATTTGCTGCAACAACTTCCGTTCCGGGTTTTATAAAATTCAAAACAAAATTAAAATATTAGAAATTATGATATCGTCCTCAACGGCGAGATCTTTCAATCAACCAGTCGTTAAATATAATCAATAACAGCCTACCTCCTTTTTAGTTATGAGTATTTGGCAGAAATCTTTACAAGGAGAAGGCGCTTGGCTCGAATAATCGAACACAACACCGTTTTCGGGGATCAACGACGCCATTTTGACGCTTTCTCTCGTCGCTACTCAACGCATAGTGAGAATTCAATATTTAGCTTAAATGTAGCATATTTTATAACTTATTATCCTATTTACATTGACAATACTCTTTTACAAATATAATTTACTAATTATCATTGCTCAAATATATATTAGAATAAATAAAATGTTGGTGCATCTTGGGAGAAAGTTAAAGGTCATAGGTCAAGGTCGTCCAGAAAATGTTGATAAATGACGGAAGTAAGACAAAGACTTTATTTTCTTCAAATCAAATGTGAATATGGTTGAAATGAGAAGATGTAAATTATATATCGCAATAGTAGGAACTGTAGCATTATTTGGATTTATTTATTTTGGAATATACTGCCCATCAAGCCTATGTGCTTTGACTCCTGGGAACACAACTCCTCCTGTGAAATCTACAGAATGGGGGCACAATTTATACTTAGAATCTCAGCGTAAACTCAAACAAAAAATAGCAATACAATCTCACACACGACAGGTTGCGCTAGCGACACAATCTCACATGCAAACACAGACAAATGAGGTACAATTCGAGGATTCCCACCTACATAGAAACTATGATTTTCACCCAGATGGCGATAGTGTTATTGTATTTCTTCACATACAGAAGACTGGGGGTACCACATTTGGAAAACACTTAGTTAAAAATCTCGATGTAGATACGCCCTGTGAATGTACCAGAGGTCGAAAAAAATGTAACTGTTATAATTCTCAAGACTATATCTGGCTATTTAGCCGTTATTCTGTTGGTTGGCCATGTGGGTTACATGCAGATTGGACAGAATTAAAGGATTGTGTTCACAATTACTTAAATAAGAAAGAAAAGAGTGATAGGGATAGAAGGTAAAGTATTTGTTTACAACCCTTAAAGGACAACTGAAATAGGTTTTCTTAAGTTACATCTACAAAAATGTGGTTTTCTGCATTGTAAGCCTAACATCCCCTAACAAGTTCCCACAATAACCATTATAAGAGAAATGTTAGATAAGGCTTCGGACTCATAATTAACAGATCAATCAGATTGGTTCCCACATGATTAGTAACGTCATACAGACTTTATAGTTTTGATTTATTGGTTCCTTGGTAATCACGATGTCACGGCAACCGCAAGATTGTTGTCTTCAAACAAATAACAAAACATCTTGGAATTATCAGGTCATGATTTAGTGGACCAAAATCAGCCATTTGGGAAGTAATGTTGGGGCCAAAATATGTCACAAAACATTTAAATATTGCTTATTTAGCAGCTACCATGTGTAGTAAAATGGAACAGTTGCCACATTACTGATTAGATGACATATCAAAATTCATCCATTATTAAATAAAATTGATTCCCTTTAGTTTAAATTAATATTTCAGTTGTCCATTAAGAAATAAGCAGTTCTTTTTCATTTGTGCTGACTGGGAAGTTCTGAAATCAATAGTTACATTTGTTCAATTGTTAAAAGTTTAAAGTTAGCTGGTTAGGGTAAGTGTTATACTTTCTGATTTAGAAAAATACAATTTTCTGAGCAACAGGTGAACTATTATTTCATACTTCTATCAAGTTCTGTGGGAGGGGAAGGGTCGTGAGTTTGATCTTCATTAGGGTGGACTGACTTTTTCACACCAGCCCTTGGCACAGATTTTCATTATGTGTTTTAATTTTAATTCATATTTCCTAGAGGTTTCACTTGTCATTTTTCATTTGGGATTTTGCTGAGACATGGCTATTGGGTACACTATGTTTTCATTCATTTAAAAGAGAGCCTTCACTAATCTCTTAAAGAAAGAGATATTCATTAAACTTCAGATCTAATTCTAGATACAAAATTAGTCACAGACCTTGTGAGAGAATAGAATTTATTTCACATCTGAGGTCCTATAAAAAGCAATGACGGCTGTTTTTTTATCATTATTACTTTCTCATCAGCATCAAAACTCCATTTATCTGTCATGGTCAGAGAAAAGTAATTTCCACTTCTTGGTCAAAGGGTCATACTTGGTCATATATTGGGCAAGTTTTACTCTTTTTTTTCATTTCAATTCTCTGATTTTCAACATTATAGAATTAAGTTTTAAGGGGTCTGAGGTCAGAGGTCATTAATTAGTTTAGTTTTTAAACAAACATTGAACTTTTGATGCCTCCCCTTAAACAACTGCTGTTACCATAGTAGCGTTCTCTGAGATATTGAATAAAATGCCAATCATTGGTAATTACCAATATATCAGATCATAGTAAAAACAAATTTCAACGATCACGCTTGGCTAGTCTTGCATGTTGAATCACCAGGCCTGTCAAAGTTATTGCAATAAAAGAAGTCCCTCAAGAATCAGATGGAGAAATCCATAAAATGTGGCAGATTTTCAAGACTCCCTTAAGGCTATAAGAGGTTAATCCTTTGATTATGGTATTTGTTTTTTGGTAGAAGGGATTAAATTGTGTTTAATGATTTTTTCTAGTGTAAAATACTTATAATATGAAACTCTAAATAGTCTAGCTACAAGCCCTTCATAATCAGTAAATAACTGTATCACCATTATATTTCTAGCAAAGTAAAATAATTTATAAAGAGGTCAATGTACAGAATGACAAACACTGTAAGTTTCGAAAATAGGTACATGTATTTTATTGATCTGCAAAAAGCAAAATAATGATATGATATAAATATACATTATAAACTTTTTAAATTAGAGGTCTCATTGATCTCCCCATCTTTATAGTAAGTGGTAACTGCACTCTGTTGAAAGTTTAAATCACACTTGCCACGCTGAAGATATTCTTTGCAATGTCGAAATGATAAAATGATTTGAACAAAAATTACAGTTCCTGGGAAGATCACTGCTAAACGTCTTGAATTTATGAACCAGCAAAACATTTACTTTAACATCTCAATGTTCACTGTAACATAAAGTCATAAGATTCTAATATTATTTTAAGTAATTAAGTCATTTCCTCCAAGATATCATTTTCTGTTTTTTCACTCTACATCATTATTTGTAGAGAGCCTCTGGTCTAGTACATTGAAACATGTATATTCGGACACCTCTCTAATCTGAACACCTCTCAAGTGAACACTTTTTCTCAATCCCAAATTTATTTTCTCTCATTGACTTACATGTTAATGACCTCTTGAAATATGAACACCTACAGATCCAAACACTTTTGGCTGGTTCCAGAGGTGTTCATAATCTAAACATCTCTCTTGTGAACACTTTTTCTCAATCCCAAATCTATTTTCTCTCATTGTCTTACATGTTAATGACCTCTTGAAATATGAACACATACAAATCCAAACACTATTGACTGGTTCCAGAGGTGTTCATAATCTAAACATCTCTCTTGTGAACACTTTTTCTCTATCCAAATCTATTTTCTCCCATTGTCTTACATTTTAATGACCTCTTGAAATATGAACACCTACTAATCCAAACACTTTTGGCTGGTTCCAGAGGTGTTCGGGTGAGACTGGTTTGACTGTACATCTGTTTGTAGCAATCATGTTGTAAAAATACCTCATGTGGTTTACCCTTTGAAACCCAGAGACAATTGTTACAAGCCTCTGACTGAGAGTGTAGTTTTGGTCTTTTTTTGTGGAATCAGATTATAAAATAGCAGAATGAAGACGTAAAATAGGATGATGATTGGAATTCTCAGCTTATTTTGACTGATCTTTCTTTTTCATTTTTTATTGATATTATTTATTCAAAAGAAACACAAAATTCAAACACTGATCAATCTAGTCTGTTTAGGGCAAGATCAGAGAATAATCTCTTATTTATAGAGTGTAGCTCTGAAGTGAAATCCCACTATTGAAGAGGGTATGTATGACTTTGAGTTCAGAGAGGAAATCTGGTTCCAGAATCTGGACTATCTGTAAAAGGCCATGTGGTATCATATTTATTCATTTTATTTATTCTAGTGTAAAGATAATTTGTTAGTGACCTCACCTGGATTTATAAATCACCATTTTGGGTTTTTAAGTCGGCTATATGCCAATGTTTCAAAATTTGTAGATTTGAGACCCTAGATGTAAAAACAATTGCTAATGTTTCAAGATTTTGAAATTTGAGACCATAGGTGTGAATACTACCTGTAATGTGGAAAAGAGCGCCATTTCAAAATGAAAATTTTGCTTCCTCCTTGAGAACGCTTATTTACATTTGCTTTATATTCCTTATTGACATAGTGTTTCTAAATATGTGGCTATTGATGTGATTTCAATCATGTTTCCTGTGTACTAAGTAGCCAAGGGGTTGAAGCTTCATTCATTTAGTCCCTATTGACACTTTCAATTTATAGTTTTACATAACTTAGTTACTCTATAATTAGGGCCAGAAATTTGCCAGAAAGCTTTATTACATCCATGACATGTAATCAATGCCCTAAGAGTAGCAAATTGATCAAATTTGTAGCATGTGAATGGCCCGTCTAATTTCATGAAGAATCCCTTTAGGAAATTGATATGTTTTCCATAAAGGATAGAATTGGTATTGCACCATGGCAGTTACAATTGTTTGATTTTCTTTAAAAGAGAGCTTCATCCGTCAAACCTGTAGCCAGTATTTGCCAAGGGGGGTCAGTTTTAAAAAATTTCCAGGGGGTTCACATTTGACAAATATGGCTAAAATCACTTGAGAAGTGCTCAAAATGGCGAAAAACTGCATGATTTTGAAAGAATGTTTGGCCAGGGGGGGGGGGTTCGCCCAAACCCTGCGAACCCCCCCCCACCCACCCTGGCTATGGGCCTGTTTATAATCTGTTATTAAGCCTTACCAAATCTCAATTACATTTAATCCTTCATAAGTAGCTGACATTTATTTGATATTAAAACTACCAGGAAATGTTGTTTCAGCTGTTTTTGAGGTATTAAGATCTGAAAAATATCAGCATCAAATTGTATACAAGTGGAACCTTTTTAAGTGAGCCCTTAGGACCACAAAAAGTGTTCAACTTGCGAGGTGTTCCACTTACAGAGGTTCATTAACATGGAGTCAATGGACCGCATGACTTTTAAAGCCCGTACCTGTTCCACTTCTGAGGTGTTCCATTTACAGAGGTGTTCCTCTTAGCAGTTACTAAGTTGTATATATCTATATTTATTCCATAATACTACTGTTTTCGCAGGGGAATATGAAGGAATAAAAATCGTATTGAATCGTATTACATGAAAAAATTGTATTGTCCCCGGGAAAAAATCGTATTAGAGCGCTCCCTCGGTCAATATCATATTACCCTTCAGTCAATATCATATTGTCCCTCGTAATAAAACCCATATTCAATCACTCCCAGTAAATAACCTATATTTATTTGTCCTTAATAATTAGCACTCTCCTCCAGGAGTCAGGGTTCAGTTGAAATGGCATCACAAAGTAATTGCTAATCAACAATTGGAAATCTCATTTCAGCTTATTTCCCATTTGACACAACTTGAAATATAGTCATATGAAGATTTAATATACACTTGTCAGTTGATGTATCCCTTGCCCAGAATATATCTTGGATTATCACTGTCAATTGGGGGGGGGGGGGGTGGAGGTTGCCCCCACCCTGGCCAAATACTCTTTCAAGAACCAAAGCTGTTAAATTTGAATACCCCTGAATTTTTTAAAAACAGAATCCCCCTTGACAAAATCTAGGATCTACTAGTCACTCATGCAGTACTACTGACTGTTAGAGATTTATAATATAGCAGATGTCATTCTGGTGAGATGTTTATTTATTAAAATCACATAAACATATTTACATAACAGTGTTAAAGAACCCCAGATGGTGTATGCCTTGTTGAGTGTGAAGAATAACTTGCACATGTTTTAGCTTAAAAAGCAATTAATTCCTTTTCTACATTAACATTTTCCCCAGG